GAGGTGTTTAATTCTGTACTATACTGACAGGGATATATAAGCCACTCAAACAAGTGTGTTTGCACTGCAGCTAGAGGAAGAGATGCCCAGTGTCCTCAGTGTGGTGAAGCACTCTGTGTTGTAATAAGGACAACAATTGTGTTGTGAATAGTGTTTAAGTGACTTTGATCAAGTCAGGACAAGTTATGTTAAAATTATATATATATATGGATTGAAAAGACCTCGTGTAGGAAACATTTGCAGTTCTGATTCATGTCTTAAACACAGGTGAGAGGATCTTAATATTGTTAGCAGGTAAAATCTTGAGAAGTGTTGACAAAATGTTGATAAAGCTAACCCAGATAACAATTTCAGGACAAAGAGTAAAACATGGACCTGCCCACACAAATACAGAGGCAGACTGAGCACAAGAGACAATTCTTTGCACAAAGAGTGGTGGGGATCTTGAACAAACTAGCCTGCCGTGTTGTTGATGTAGATGTCCTATGTTCACCAGTTGTCTGGATGGGACCTTCAGATTAGTGAGCTACAGGCCACCAAATTAGCAGCTGCCTCAGTTGTGACACTGTTTATGTTGTAACTTGAGTGTTCTGTGAGCTGTGGACGGCCAGGATCTTTTTCGGCCTGAGAAGCTGAGCTGGCGTGGACAAGGACGGTGGCGATTGTGGGGAAACCTAATCGTTCTTCATTTCTGACAGCGATGGAAACGGTGAAATCTTCATATTTCCGCCCTCAGTGTTCCCAGTAAACGTAGATCCCTCCCCGAAGGAGCTCCAGTAGATTGCTACACCTTTTCTGAAGGGGTAAATGAGATGAAAGCAAAATTGTTGCAGGCTGTTTGCAGTGGCTCTGCCTTGGGCAGCTTGACGATCTGAGTCATCCTGTCTTCCCTTGCAGATGCTGAGGGTGTGAGAGAGAAGAGGAAATCGCCGCCCAGGCAGAGGAGGGTGAGTGGGGTCAAACCCAAGTCAGCATTACAGGGCTCCGCTGGTGGGGTTCCCCTTTGCCTACGTGTCACAGCTGTAGAATAGGTCCACGAGCCCAGATTTTGACCGATACGTGGGCTTGATTTTCTTTACACGGGCCCAGCAGCCACGCCTCTCTCGGAACAAGACCCCTTGCACGTTTTACCAGCCTGCTCTGCTGTGATAATGATGTGAGGACCTGAGAACCACACCTCCCCGGCCTCTCGCTTCATTGCGAAAATGTAACAGACCTCGTAAAATAATAATAGAAAATGCAGGGCAACAAAAACCGAAACGGATGTCTTTTCCGGGCGTAGGAGGGAGGGAGAAGGGAGAGCACATGTGCTTTTTGGGTGGCGTAACCTGGGCTGTTTTCACTTTCATGCTGCGCAGCTGGAGGTGCAGATGTGTGGGTCTAGGAACTGCAAGGAAGCCCACCGCTGCTTTCCTGTCAGCCCAGTGGACAGGGGTGCGACTGGAGAGGTGCAGGGGTCAGAGGGACCCAAGTGATCCAGAGCAGAAAAAAAAAAGTGTGTTCTCCCAGCACTGCTCCTGTGGGGATCGGTGTTGTGAAAGATCCCCACTGTGGGTGATATGGCTTTAGGAGGTTTTCACATGTAACAACATAAGGTGGCAGCTTGTATTTTTTTTTAAGGGTCTGGGTCTGTTTTAAAGATCTGGGAGGCTTCCTGGCTTTGTTTTGAACGTTTTTAGCCATTGCTTATAAAACACAGAACTTTCTTAAAAAGGAGGAGCTTATCTCCACCTCATTCAGTAATAGAGAAGAACAGCTTCAGGGATGCCTACTCTGCCAGCAAACACAATTAAACCCCAACAACCAAAGTCCTGCTCCTGCACTGAGAAATTATTATACAGAGGCGAACCCTGTAATTAAATCCATGTAAGAATGCACCCTTTTTCGATTAATCGATTAATAAGTGAACCGATCAGTGAACACAGGCGAGATCATTCACACAGAGAAGATTTGACAAGTGTCTTTGAAGTGTATGGTTAGCGTCCTCTAGTGGCCTGCCTTTTGTTCGCTACAGTGTTTCTATGACAACCTGCCAGGGTCTTCACTGTGTATATGTGATGTCCAATCGTAGGTGCTGGCAAAGCTGCTGCTAAAATAAATCGGAGCTCCACTCAGAATTGCATACACAGAATAAGTGTGACACATTTTTCTACCATACAACAGGAAGTAGGTGTGCATTTGGAGCTTAAAAGGGCAGCATGCTCATTGCAGATAGTGAAACCCACTTGTGCATCTCAGGATTGTGACGTGTCTTCACTCTGTTATTTATACAGTAAGTAGAGGAAAAAAAGCATCCGGAAATCTAGAGTTCTGGTAGATGTTTTATGAACGTGGTCCTGGGCTTGAGACAATACAATGCCATGATAGTCAGCTGTACCACTGGACAGCTCTGGAGTCCCGAGTTCGACTCCAGTCGTGGGTCTCCCGTCTGTGTGGAGTTTGCATGTTCTCCCTGGGTTGACCTGGGTTTTTCCCAGACCTTGTTTCCTTAATCGGTGTTGAATGGTGGATTTGCACCCTATGCTTCCAGCTGGCTGCCGCCTGGGGTCAGGGCTTTAGAGAAAGTGCCCAGTCCGGCTCTCCCTGCAGCCCCTCTCGGCTGTGTCTGTCTCTGCAGAGGCCGGCCACCCACATGAGCTCTGAGACCAAGCTGCTGACGACCCCGGTGCAAATCAGCCTCCGCCTGTCCAGCAAGCGCAGGGGCGAGATGACCTACGACCATGTGGCCATGGTCCGGAAAGAGGTGATCGCTGACTTGTGCAGGTTCACTGCGTCACGTTCACAAGAGCGCAGCGTGTGAACGGGAGAGAGCTCCGGCATCCGGTCAACATGATTATTGAGTACTTTCAGGCTGATAGGCGTGCTGAATACACCAGGAATGCACCATAGCAGCTGGGTTTTAAAAACACGGTCAGTAGGGTTGGTTATGCACCTGATATTTCTGTGAAAAGGAAAAATGAATTATAATTATATGGGAACAAGTAATAGGTTTGAAAAGAGAAGAAAGAAAAAGCAGCTTCAGGTGTGAAGAAGGCTCCATAGCCAAAACGTTGCGTCTTCTTTCTTCTCTTTTCAGCTTAGAATAAACCTATTACTTGTTCCTTTGCAGCCTATGCATGCTGACGCAGCTCCCCACCTGATCTACTTCTAATTATAAATAAATATGATGCATTTATATATCATAGATACTAATTCTATACAATACAATGTAATATTGCAATAATGAAATATTGTATTTAAAGACATTTTCATTCACTTCTTAAGAACAAGGAAAAGCTTCAACCTATACAGTGAAACAAATAATGAATTCAGTTTGGTAATTTAGGCTCAAATTGTAACAGAAACCCTCTGGATCTCCATGACTGGAGTTAAGCACCCTGTGAAAGGCAAATCCTGTTATGTACCAAACTGAATGGTTCCACAATCAAGACTGAGGCACTTCTTCATACAGAAAGTGGTGGAAATGTAGAATAATGTAGCTGGTGTTAAGCTGGCACATACGCGGAGATTCGCACGAGACCCTCGGGTCAGTCTGGCCTTCTGTCGTTTGTGACCTTTCTGTTATCATGTCTGGGATGTGCTCCAGATTCTTCCTCTCCCGGATACTGCTATTCTCTAGGATATACTTCCTAGGATTGGATCTCTGTTGTGTGCTCTGTCCTCAGCAGACCCATGCAGGGCCTCCCCTGTCTCAGGGCCTCCACTGCGTGTGTCTCTTTAAGGTGAAGGAGGGCACAGAGCTGTACCTCAGACAGCTGTTCCAGAGCAAACAGAGGGACGCCTGGAACTTCTGGCTCACGATCAATGCCCGCTACTTCCAGGAGAGGGAACCAGAGCACATCTGGAGAGCTCAGCAGCCTTCCACAGCTGGAGCCAGGCTGGCTGGGGACTCGGTCCCGGATCAGTACCTTAAAATAATGTAGGTGTATTCAAGCTGGCTATGGAAATATCTCTGCGCCCAATTCTGGCAGCTGCCAATTCTACATGACACGTATGATGAAGACTATGTGGAGTGAATTAAATCTGTGTCAGATAATGCAGTATGTTGGGCTTTTATTTTGTGTGAAAAGCAAGCTGTTGAAAGTTATTTTATGTCGCCAAAACCTGTAAATTATAATGACCAGGAAAGGAAGGAAGGAAGGAAACTCGAAGCAAGCATGGACCAGTGTTATCCCCTTGTGTCTTAACGATTACAGTTATCCCAGGGTTCTGTATCTTTTATAACGGGGCACTGAATCCGAAACACTTCGAACCTGGATAGCTTTGAATGCTCCCACAGCCAGGAGTCTGGCCTTCTGGTGTGAAGGAACCTATGCCTCTTAAGAGTTAACAATTAGGTTTTCAAGAACTGTTTTAGTGTTTTGTACTCTCCCAGCTGGCTGAGGTTTCTCCAGCTTGATCGTGTGGTTTCCTAAGGAAAGTGTCTCACAGGCATGTTGGAATTCTCTGATATCCGGGGAATGGCATTGTGTGGCTCTGAATCGGGTGCCTGTGAGCATCGACCATCAAATCAGATGAAGGTGTTTGGTTTGGAACATACAGTACTCCAGAGCTGCTTGTTCCTGGTGTGCTGCTCTAAACTGGTCTGATGTTCTTCTGGGAGACAGGTGACTTTAACTTTGAGTGGTATTGGATGTACAGTAATAGGACCCCAGCAGGTTCAAATGTTTACACTTAAGCATGAAGAAGATTTGTATAGCCCAAGTTCTTTCAGGTTTCTAGTGTGCATATATATTGCTATATATTCTCTTTATATGGTTACTGCAGCCTCAGAGCTTGATGATAGATATTCAAACCTATTATATTGGAGGCTAGAATGGGTGTATTTAGTGGAAATACTAGCGGGCCAACCTGAAACTACCACCCAGAAATATCTGTGGGAACTTGAATTACATGTTTAAAATGTTGAACTGCAAAGTGAAAAGTAGAGAGATTGATCTGTTTGTGGGAAACACTATTTGTTCTGCAGATGATCAAGCCACCGAATGTCATCTGTTTTACATAGTCAAACACAACACTCTTTGCTGCTGTTATTTTTTATTTGCTTAGTAGATTACCATGTGATATATTTACGTAAGTTCCGGTTAATTAAATGGCAAAGAAACAAAGAGACCCTGATTGTACCAACAAAGATGAAGATCGCCACCTTACAGTGTATCTAGGTGCACTCACTGGCCAGAATATTAGGAACCCCCATTGCATGATGATGATTTGTGCACAAAGCAAGAGCAGTGCCAACCCCGTCCTCCTCCAGGATCAACAAGAGCTGGGCTTGCGATGAGAGGGATGGAAAACGGGACTGAACTGCACAAGGCGCTGCCTAGTTCTGCTGTTTCCCAATCGGACAACAGAGGTCCGAGGTTTGTCCCGAGATGGGGAAAGGCGATGGGACAGACCTCGGCTCGGCCACATCTGCTGTGTGATTCTGGCCAGGGAGTGCAGCTCCGTTTCAGATTCTGAGACCCACTACCACAGCCCCCAGCCCCTCCGAATGGTGGCCCCTCAGGCATTCGCTTTCTCCGGCAGGGCATGCAGCAGGTATCCCCCGAAGTATATGGTGTGGTAGGGAACGTCTGACCAGGAGTGTCCGACTTCCTGTGTCACCCAGACGTGGCTGCCCTTGCGCAGCTCCAGCAGGGCCATGACCAGGTTGCCCGTGGTGTTGGCCGGCAGGTCCATGTGGCTGATCAGCACCTTCTGCCCGTCCTTCACCAGCCACAGGTTCGTGGCCTCCCTGCGGCCGAAGTTGGTGGAGAAGAAGAGCTGGTAGACGCCCGTGACGGGGCAGGCGAAGATGCCGGTCACGCTGTTGTAGGCGTTGCCGATGTTCACGAACTCGTGGCTGAACTTGATGACGTCCACGGCGCCGGTCACGGGTTTGGGGTAGGAGAAGAAGAAGTAGACAGGCGGGGCAGCTGTAATAAGAGGCAGCGAGGGTCATGGGAAAGGAAAGGATGACGACTTCGGATGCACTCCTGAAAATTGCTGTTCATTCAAACTTGAGGAAATCAGGCCCTTCAGGGAGGGACTGCGTCCATCTGAGATAACCTTCCAAGGATACTGTGAAGGTTCTGTATCTGTACAATTTCACCTTAATAATATTTGACTTTAAAGTAACGGCTGTGCTTGTCTACCTTACCTGAGCTGCAGGTGGAGCCTGCTGCATTCTGGTGGAGGTTGTTGTAGTATGCGCTGTCAATCTGCTGAAACAAACACATCCCTGTCATTGAGTAAGTAGCAGTTGGCAGAAACCGTTTTGACCCGACAGTCACGAGACAGAGGTCAAAACAATGGGCTGTATTAACAATCCACAGGAGTGGGTTTTGCACAGCGTGTGAGAAGTGAAAGGCGGCCGACCCAGCCCACCCACCTGACCGCTGAGCTGCTTTTTCATCCCCTCCAGCTCCGACTCCAGGTGCTCCACTTTCTTTGTCAGTTCCTGCATGCAGACACGGGTGGGGGGAGATCGGGATAAAAACACTCAAACTCAGCAGTTCTAGTGATAGTGGTCCTGTCCCTTCCTCCTGCCAACAAAGTCTGCCTGAACCCATTAATCTTCTATTGTCTGGTGTTCCGTAGAGATACTAGATAAGAAATAAGTCAAGCGAGCAAAATTACTACAAATAAGTCAAGCAAGCTGGGCCAAATGCCTTCCTGTTGCTCAACAGTGCTTGTAAGCAGTTATGCAGTTAGCAGGGTGGGTAGTTTGTTCTGGAGGCATCCATGTCTCAGTGAAGATTGACATCCTACTTTCTGCCCCAAATGCATGTCCTTTCCTTGTGTGCTTGTGGGGGTCCACTTGGTTAGAATAGAAAAACTGCTATAAATGAGAGGAGGCCGGTAGACCCCTCTAGCCTGTTTGGTAGTTCATAGTCAATTGATCCTGGGGAAGCCTGCACAGCCTGTTCCATTCTCCCACAACCCTTTGTATAAAGAAGTGCCTCATCTTCTCAGATTTACATGTACATCTGCATTGTTTCCACTTCTGTCTTTTAGTTCATGTTTCACAGCTGACTCCTGACTGATAAGTTGTTCTTTGTACGATAGCATTATGCTCCCTACTGATACTGTACAGTTTGAAAACTTTAAGCATGGAAGCGATGCCTACCACTATTTTGGTTTCCTCCATCAGAGTCTCTCTGGTGGAGGACAGAAGCAGCACCCCCATCAAGGCCATTTGAGCTAATGACAGCATCTGCAAAAAATAAGAAGGACAGATTGGAAAAGCAGAGTATGAGATAGCTGATCCATTTAACACCAAAACTAGGAAGCTTTCATATCCCGAAGTTGATCTAAGGTGTAGACAGTGAGGCATTTAATCATCTATGAACCAAGAACCATTTAACCAAGCCTATGAAGGTAACAATCACTGAAAGAAAACGCATGTAAATACCACTCAAAACTGGCTTTCTCATAAAAAAAGATGCAGTGAAGAATAATGAGGGAGGGAACAAATCACTGAACGCCAGTGGTTGGAGATATTCTTGAAACTACTGTAACCATTTCTTGCAGTCACTTGCAATTGCTGGGATTTTTTAAAAATTGATTTAAAATGAATTAATCCATAAAACTTCCAAACCCCTTATCCAGTACAGGGTTGCAGTGGGGAGGCAGAGCCTAGCCCAGCAAGCAATGGGCACAAGGCGAGATGCACCCTGGACAGGACCCTGGTCCACCTCGGGGCACACAGACACGCACCAGGGGCAATTTTCCCAGAAGCCAATTATCCCATCATGCCTTTGCACCCGGAGCAAACAAACACAAACAGCACTCCAGGTCTGGAATTGAACCCAGGGTCCCAGCGCTCTGAGGCACCAATGCTAACCACTGTGCCACCCTTAATTATTCTTTTTAAAATGAATGGGTACTTTTTTACTGAATAGTATTCTTCTGCTGATCAACCATGAACTTTCACACACAGTGCACCATTCTTGCAAGCAGTTAAATCTCAAAGCACAGCACTAAAATAAATTTACAAAAATCACAAAACTGGAAGAAGATACCTTGCATTAAAGCATTAATTAAAAGTCCTAGTGCTCTTCCACAAAGTGCCAGTGGTTTAATAGTGCTTCTTACCTTCCCTGACGCTGGAGTGTCTCCGACACTGACGAACGCTGAAAGTGAGCAAGCTGGAGGTCTGCAGTGAGTGATCTTCAAGCTGGCCCTCCCTGCTCCACCCCAACAGGAAGGGTGGGCACAGAGTGGACCCACCCACACCCATCAGCTGTGCTTCAGGAGTATGTGCCTTGATCTCACAGTAAAGGTCACCCTGTTCTTTTAGAAAAGTTGTATGAAAAGCTTTGGATCCACATGGTGGTTTGTTCCAGCACAGGGGTAGATACACCGTGCTCTTGGGGTGTTCAACCACAGGGGTAGATACACTGTGCTCTTGGGGTATTCCAGCACAGGGGTAGATACACTGTGCTCTTGGGGTGTTCCAGCACAGGGGTAGATACACCGTGCTGATGTTGGGGTGTTCCAGCACAGGGGTAGATACACCGGCTGATGTTGGGGTGTTCCAGCACAGGGGTAGATACACTGTGCTGATGTTGGGGTGTTCGAGCACAGGGGTACATACACTGTGCCGATGTTGGGGTGTTCCAGCACAGGGGTAGATACACTGTGCAATAGCAGCACACTGCTGTAAGTCTGAAATGCTGGTATGAATTTTGTGAAGGATCTGATGGATCTGAAGACTTGGGTTATTACTGTAATGAGATACTGTTGGTTCTAATAGTTACTGTCAGCAATACACAGCCTTCTTACAGTGCAATTTCTCAGAACTGTTCTTACTGATAATGCCAGTTTTAGTGTCCTTTTTCATAAAATATCCATCTGCAATTATTTCTTACCCTCTGCGATCTCGACGTTGATGAAAGTTAACTTTTAAAGTTAACAAGTGGTTAACACTTTTTGCTGTTAATGAAAGGTTAAGTAAAGGCAGATCAGCTTATGATAAGGAACATTAAATCAACACGGATGTTCGATACAGTAGGCTTGCATTATACTGAAAATCATTAAAGAGCTAGTGTTTCCTTTACACACCGAGTGTGTACCAGTGATGGACACTCAATTTCCATACGCTACAGTATTATCCAGGAACTGTCACGAACTTAGACGAGATGATTGAGTGGAAAATGATACCAGTATTCAAAATCCTCAAAGTTACAGAAAAATTCAACACAGCAAATGTCTTTAGAATCAGCAGAGAGACAAAGAAGGCAAGCGTTAATTCTGCATTTAAAAATAAGTGCATCTAAAACCTAGAACAGGAGGTGCTTCTTCACACAAAGAGATGTTGGAGTATGGAACACAGCTCCCAGTCAAGTTTGCGGTCCTGATATCCTGGTTTCTTTGTATCCAATCTTTTTTTCTTATACAATAGGACATTTTACTAGGACAACATGAGTAAAATACCTTGCATAAGGGTACCAAAACATCATCCCGCCTGGGACTTGATCCTTTAACCATCCTGTCCATAAGATAATAAAAGGATGATATCATATCTTACAAGGACACTGTAAATTAGGGCAAAATGATTTGTTAGATTTTCCATGCCACTCTTCTTTTAAAATGACTATTTGCTTTATTCATATTCAGGTCCTTGGGGATTCTTACAAATTCATGTAGCTGCCAAGGTGCTCCAGTCAAGGGGACCTATTGAGTTCCGCCATGGCAGGTCTCTCTTACCTCTCCTCTCTTTCTGCGATTTTGGAGATGGAGAATATTCTTTGTTGATGGTGATGTAATCACTTCATGCTCATCTGACGTATTCAGATCTGGGATCTGGAGCTTCCCGATGTCTCCAGAGCGTGTTGCGATGGCAGCGCTGTTGCAGTCCTGCAGTAGGAGCTGCATTTTAAAGGCCTTTTGTTCATTTTGTTCTGCAGAAAAGTATTTAAACTGCGTTAGAAGCACAGCAGACGGTATGACTTCACCAACCCCATATCTGCAGTCTGCCAGTTCCTCTCCTTGTCTCTTTCTTTCACCACAGTGACAGACTCCTGTTGGGCCAGAAATGGTCCAGACATTTGCACTGCGATGGTTCTGTGGTCCAGATCTGGCTCTGGACGGGCGCGGATTCACAGTTTACCCTTTTCTCAGGAATTGTCGAGAAAACCCGGTAAATCCTTCCATTCTAACAATTTATGTTTTCACCAATGAAATGAGAACGCATAAAGAAGTCTTGTGTGTAAAATCGTGTTCATGCTCAGATTCGTAAGACTGAAGCCCTCATTTCATACTTTCACGTTTATAGCTAATAATTGGTTCTCTAGTTGTAAGACATGGTTTGAAGTGCAGCATCATTAGTGAATGTCAGGAATAAATGCAACAGGAAAAAGAGGAAAGAGTAACAGCAGTGCAATCCTAATTAACTTCAGTTGTGGCTTTATGATGTCCATTTTAATACCCAGAACTGTGTACAGTAAGTGCAAAGCTAGGCCTATTGCAGGCACTGGTGTGATCGTGGACATAAATTATAGAGCCCCCTGTCTTCTTTCTACTGCGAGCATGGCCTAAACTAACCACAAGGTGTCAGCACAGCCTCACTATACAGCAGAGGACTGAAAATATCATCCGATTCGTCTGTTGAAACCACAGAGGAGTGGTGCTTAGGAATCCCAGGTCCCTGTGTGGCACTGCAGTGAGGCCTTCTGTAAAGGGGCACATGGCACCAAGCCTGACAGACCAGGTGCACTATGTGAACACCAACAGAGACTGCACATCCCTGAAACAGTCAGTCCAGGATTGTTTTGAATTCAGGGGGGGTCTTAGCAAATATTCAGAGGCTAGACAGCCCCTTATCAAAGTTGACCACAGTGACAGGACAGGACAGAGGAGAGGAACCAGGACTACACAGGTCAGGAATCTGACTGACTGTCAGTTGAAGGGATCTATGTCATCCATTGCCTGAACCATAATACAGGATTAGAACTAACCCAGAACCTCTACGGTCTGGCAGGGAATACTACAGCATCAGAACTCAGACCTCCGGGGTCAGAAACCACTTTTATCCCCCGGCAGTACATCATGAATAACTAACAGATGAATGACAACTGGCTGACCACTAGATTTTCCACTGCTAGATTGAACAGACTGTTAAATGTTGAATTTGTTTGCACACCACACTGCTGTCCACTATCGTATGTTGTAAATTGTAGTGTTTTCTATACTGCATGTTGTATCATACACCTCATGTTGTATTGCAAGCTTTTTGCACTGCTCCCTTACTGTTTTTATTTACTCTCGCCTTCTCCTGGCTGTACACTGAGAGCAAAGTACTCAAGTACTTATATATGGCAAATAAACTTTATCCTTGAAGTAGTTTTCGCTGACCTGCCACTAGAGGGCGTTTGGGCCTCAATTGTCTGGTGATGGATTAAGTCATTAATTGGTTAATTGGTGCAAGGTGAGCGGCACATTCCCACACAGGTGTCAGCTTGTGTAGGTGTGGTGTATAAAGGGTTCCATGGTGGGGTAGCTGAGCTTTGGGTTTGCCAGAGTAGGTTTCTGTTGTGTGAATGAAAATGTGACTTGAAATAAGTGCTTATTTAACAGCAATGTCCTCTCATTGTGAGAAGTCGATGTGTCCTTGTACAGTGGAGCACAAGCTATCTGAAGAGAGGCTGCTGTGTCAAACTGTCACATTTGGTGGCTCATCTAGGATGTGGGCCTGGGATCTCTAACATCTTTGATTAATAATTTTAAGGAAGGTTTCTGTCCAGGAGCTCAGCTGTCAGGGATTGGAAAGGTGATGGGCAGCTGGCTCCCCTCAGGTGGTGATCTAGACTGACTGCCTGTCCCAGGTATGGTCTTGCATCATGTAGCTTTTCCATGGTGTTCCCCAGTTTATAATTGGGGTGGGGAACTCCAGGTCTGGAGGCCCTGAGCCTCTAGTCTAATTTGTATTGCTGATCTCAATTAAGTTATTGAGCTAATTTGCATGAGAATTGATTTAGGTCCTAAGCAGTGGCTGAGTGGTGGTTGTTGTTTAGGGTCCTGGGAGATGATGTGTGGGTTTGGGACAGTGCAGATCTTCCTCCTCTCTCTGCAACTCCTGAGTCTTGGCTTGATGTTTACATCTGTGCCTTTTTCTTTTTTTTAAGGTCAGAAATAGCTGGATCTTTTTTTTGTGAAAGACGAAGGTGCAAAACTACTGAGCTAGATCATACAGGTCTTATTTTTGTGTCTCTTGCATTACAAAAAAAAAAACTGGAATTTACTTTTAATATGAAAGGGGTGAACAACTTTTGCCGCAGAGCTTTGGAAACCAACCTGGTTTGCATCCTCCGTTCACTTATCCTCAGACCTCTCCCAGTTCAGGAGTCCTATTCAAAGAACAAAAACGAATCAAATGTAGAAAGTGTGTTATTAACATCCTTGGGGAAGCCAGCAGTTTTACAAGAGTAAGTGATGCCAAAATTAAGCGGCTTGAGCTGTACTACATGTGCTTTATTTTGGGGAGTCTCTACTGGTCAATCAAAGCAAAAACTGAACTGCTTCTTCCCTGAAGCTTTCACCCTGCTGAGCCGGAACACATGAGTGCTGGATGCAGTGTGTTAATGACTGTGAAGCTGTGCATGCCCTTTGGGTGAAGTGTACATGTATTATTGATTGTGCACCGAGATGCCACATCAAATACCTTGTATATTCAGCGTACTTGGCAAATAAAGTAATTCTGATTCTTTGAGCAGGAGATCCTGTGGCTGAGGAGTCTGGGTAGCTCTGCACCCCCTGTTCAAGAGACAGGAAGGTGACACGATGGCAGACCTGTCTGCTCCCTGCTGTTCTCGTGAGCCTGCTTGGGGCTCCAGCTGGAATGGACGAGCACAGTTCAAGATCCTAGTCCTGGCTAACAGCTGGTAGTTTTCTTTTATTCTAAACTAACCTGCATTGTAGGCGGTAAAGTTAAAGAAAGAACAAATTGCAATAAAGCTTTTGCTGATGCTTTCCTCTGAGGCATCTAACATTTACACCCATTTAGACATCTGGGTATTTTACTGGGGTAAAAGTACTTTGCTCAGGGGTGCTACAGCAGTGTCACTCCTGGGATTTGAATATTCAATGATCAAGTTACAGACCAACACCATAAACTACTCCACACTGTTGCCGTAAAAAGAACTATGTTTTGAAGCTCCGTTCAGGACTTCAGACTTTATATCCCTCCAACAAGTGATTCCTGATTCCCTGTTGCTCCTGCAACAGCTGTTAACCAGTTGAATTGCCAGTAGTTATCTGCTTCAAAAGAAGGAAGGAGAAAGAGAAAATCTTAACAGGGGAATAGGACTTTATACGGGAGGAGGAGGCTTAAAACTCGGTTTTATTTTTAATTATTTTTTTCAAATGCTTATCTCGATGCTCTAATGCGCGGCACCCGGTATCACAGTGGTTTCCACACTGGGGAAAAAGCTCTTTGAATAAGAGCCTCGGTGTAACCTTCCTTGGTTATATTTACGGAGCGCTCGTCTGCGAACAATTACGGTACTCCGGGCGGGCTCTCTCCTCCTCCTTCTGCCCAGGTGAGGTGGGGCACTGGCCGGGGTTACAGCACTGCGCGCCGGGAAAGCTCGGGTAGGAGAACTGTTCCTGTGGGAGAAAAAAGGAGAAAAAGCACAGAAAAGCCAGGACGAAGACATCAGAATTCATGGTACCGCACTTGGTTCGCACAATACTGACATTTCGGGTTTGTTGGGATACACTCTTGAAGACTGGACCCTTTACCGAAAACACGCTTTTAAGAAAAAAAAAAACTCTCTCTCACGGCTGTATTTATAGAGCGATAGTCCTCAAGGAAAGTTTTTACTTTCACTTAAACGTCCCTTGGCAGAATTGAGCCGGGTTTTTTTTTTTAAATTTTTGCGGATTTTTAATCAGTTCGCGAACAGCACGATGAGTACAGACTTCTGTTTACGATTCCTGTGAATACCGGACAAGACATAGCTAGCAATATTCATTTTTTCGCGGGCACTGAGGAATTCTATAGGCATTTTTTAAACACTTTTCTCTCGTAATTCGGGGCCCCCAACCTTTAAAGCGGAATATTCGAGCGGATTCCTGAAGGACGGACCATGGCCGAGCACGAGAGTCTGGAGTTCGGGAAGGCGGACTTCTTGCTGCTGGACAGCGTGTCTCTGGAGGAGTTCATGGCCAACCTGAAACACAGGTGAGCTGGAGTCTCCTTTCGATTCGGAGTGTCACACGCCGAAACGTGTAGCGGTACCGGTACCCGGCTCTGGTTCAACGCGGTGGGGAGTTGGTTGGACTTGAGGACGGGAGGATTGACTTGTCCTGATACAGCCGCCGCCGTTTTGAGGGATGTCCAGAGATCAGTGCGCGTAGCCTTTTTTTTATTTTTGCTTGACAGAGAAGATAAAATAAGGCTGTGCTGTAGTATACAGGATTAAAGAGAAGTAGAAGTGTTTTCCAGTCGTATGAGGGGAGTTCAATGGGAAAACACGGTCAACTGCAGTATTGTTGTTCAAAGACCGCCTCAACAATATTGACAATATACAGATCATTTTGCGATGACTTTTAACATGTCCAGGTGTAAACATGTTCATTTTTAAAATGCCTTTCGGGGTTTTTGTGTGTCGGTTCTGATCAGAGGTGCAAGGCTTTGAAGAGGTGACGCGGCCTTTTGGCGGTGACCTCCGTCAGTCCCACCCAAACCCGGCCGCTACAGTACGTAGCCACCTGCAAGTTTGATTTTTTTTTTAAACCCTTTCTACGATTTCCCATTCTCCGAGCACTCTTCGCCTTCGGCCGAGCTCGGATTGTTGTTGTGATGACGCCCCGGAGTGCTGAGGGAGGACAGGGCTAAGGAAGGTGGCCGATGCTGTAGATGTGTGATGGACGCATCCTGCTGTACATCACACGCGTTAGTTCAGTGTGCACAGCAAAGATGTGTGCTCTCTGGGTGCGCACTGGTGCTTTCTTACGATTGCACACAAAATATTCCTTTTGAGTGGAGGTAGTCCACTGAGGAATACTTAGATAATGCTCCTCAGTGGTGTCCGGTTTTCATAATGTAACAGATCACCTGTTTAATTGATCAGGATGGAATTGTTCAGTGAACAGAAAACCTGCCGAAAACCAGGGCTGGATACCCGTGGACTAGGTTTTTCAGTAAGGGGTGGGTGTTGTTTTGAGCCCTGCTCAAAAACTTTGTACCCCCAATTTCCCACAGACCGACGTTTCCGTGAGGCTCAGTTCATATCAAATTTAGATAACAGCTAATAGAAATCTCAATGTTGCAAAGTCAGCAACATGGGCTTCCTAGTGGGGGGTAACTCTTCTCTCAAGCCGTGTGTGGAGGGTCATTTTGAAGATCACTTCAACAACTTTTTTACTTTTTAAATCTCAAACTGAAGTCTGATGTGGATGGATAAAAATGTGCAAAATCCCAATTGTGTGCACTTGTCTGGGTTGCAGCAGATGAATGGCTGTAAAGTGCTCCATCAACAAGCACTGCCCTTGACTACACCTGTTAAACCCACATCCTGTGTTCTCAGCCTGGAATTTGCTCCCTGTTTTAATGAAATTGTCATTCCTGTGATCTCCAGCTTGGAGTGGGGCTGGGGAGGAGCAAACAAGGAGCTGGGACCATGTGCATGATTTGATTAAAACCCTAAATCTGTTTTTAGTGTCTTTCTACGTCAATTCAAGCAATTAAGGAGGTCTTTTTTTTTTTTTTGCCACAGTAGTTTAATCGCAGGTGTGTGTGTGTGTGCCGGCCATGAAGCAAGGCTTTGAGAGCTCCAGGTTCTGCAGTTGGATTTCAAATGCTTTGAGCTGCTCCCAGAAAAGGCAAAACGTTCTATTCCTGCTGTCGCATCTCTCCTTGTGTGTGCCTTGGTCCTTCTTGTTTCCGTATCCCCAGAAAGCAGGTCTTGATTCTGTTGCTCGCTGGCTGTGGGAGGCAGGGGGGTGTGGATTGTCAGAGACCTGCACCCTCCTAACCTCCGTGTGTGGCAGCTGTGTGGAATGTCGTTGCCTGTGCTGAGGCCCCTGTATGAGCTAACGTAATGGTAACCACATTGGGCAGAAGAATGAGGAGGATAGGGGGCCTCATTCATCACCCAGCTGCTGTGTTTGGCATATCGTTTCAAACTCTATATACAGGACGTCCTGCCGCTGGCTGGAGTCTCAACATGCAGTTATTTTTTTTTAAAACGCTTCCCTGAGCTCAGTCGTGTTGCAGGCGTCCAGACGTATTATAAGCAGTTTTTGTCAATGAATCAATGTTGCATTTAGGTCTGCGAAACTGTCTTTGATCACGGGCATGGCATTTCATATGAAAACAGGACTAAAGTTTTCAAAATTAGGATTTTTGCCTGCTGATTTCCCCCCCCAGTATATATTTGCCTTGTTCAGAATCGCCCAATTTTCCGGACTCCTGTAAGTCCTGCTCTGCATGGGAGGGGTGAGACCTGCTGGCGAGCTTCTCTGACCCTGCTGCCTCTGGAGCCTCGCAGGGGCCTTACAGGAGAGTCGGTGCTGACGCAGCTCTCGCGTCACTGAAAGCCTGTGAGCTCCAGCAGGTCAGAGGAGCTGCTGTTCGTCTGAAAGCAAAAAGAGCCCTTTGCCTAATAATAATGCCCATGTTATCCTAGCAGGAGTTCTGCCAATTGGAGCGGCACAGTGGTTAACCTCGCTGCCTCACACTCCTGGGGCCCTGGGTTTAATTCTTGGGGTGCTAATGTTTGAGTAGGTTTCCTCCAGGTGCTCCAAATTCCTCCCAGGTTTTAAAGACATGCTGGTAGGTTAATTGACTGGTGTGAGTGTGTGCATGTCTGTGCAGCTGACTTGTGATGGCCTGCCTTGCTCTCCTTTCTTGCCAGAATAGGCTCCAGCAGTTACTTCATGATAGAGACATGCCCCGTGCTCCTGCCAGCAACACTGTGACCCCATCATCTGGGTCACATGGGTGTCACCTGTGCCTTGAGTTAGCTCCTTTTCTGGATGAGCCCCCTAGAACCGCCAAAACTGGACTAAGTAAAATCTGATGTGTTCATCCTGCACCAATCTGTGAAAATTGTATTGCCTGTTCCCCTGAATGCACATGGCACATCATCTATCCCACCTCCAGACGGCGGGGATGAGACACATTGTTGAGATTGTGTGAGCACTATGCATGTTCCTAATACCCCCAGATTGACTTGATATTGATGAATGGGGACTTGGGCTCTGATGTGTTACAGTATGTATGTTCTGTGGCTGGTGGCTTACTTGTATATGACGTGCTTTCACTTTTATATTATGGTGTTGCACTGCCTGACTTTTATTACAATATAGTAAATAGGACTTTGTTTAAATAAACAATTGACTCTTTGGATGCATACAGAAGCTCAGTGTTGTCGGCATCAGCTGACCAAAGCCTGACAAGGCCCCCCTTGCATCGGCTACCTGTCCTCTGCCTCTGTCCTTGCAGGCTGAAAACTGCAGGAGGTCATTTGCATGACGGGTGCGGAGAATGTGCACCAGTTCCCAGAGACTCAAAGGAGTTTGAAGGGATTTGGATTGGTGGCCCAGAAGGGGTGGCTGTGCTCCAAATAGCCTGTATGGGTCCTAATGTCCCAGTATTGTAACGGGGACAATATACTGTCAAGAAGGTGCTGTCCTTTGGATGAGACATAAAACAAAGGACTCTGTGGTCATTAAAAATCCCAGGTTGTTTTTTGAAAAGAGGAGGGGTGTTAACCCTGGTGTCCTGGCCAAATCTCCCCCTGGCGTTTACCAATCATGGCCTCCTAATAATCCCCATCTGTGAACTGGCTTCATCACTCTGCTCCCCTCCCCACTGAGAGCTGGTGTGTGGGGAGCGAACTGGAGCATCATCCAGGTGGGGCTGCACACTGGTGGTGGTGGTGGTGGAGGGGGAGGGGGGTATACTGCCAAAAAGGTCCCGACTCTCTGTGGATATTAAAAATCCCTGGATGTTTCTCAAAAAGAGTGGGGTGTTACCCTGGAGTCCTGGCCCAATTTCCCATTGGCCTTTACAAATAATGGCCTCCTAAAAATCTCCTTCTATGAACTGGCTCTTGTCTCCTCTCCACTGACAGCTGATGTGAGGTGAGGCGCACTATGGCTGGCGTCGCATCATCCAGGTGGGGCTGCACACTGGTGGTGGTGGTGGAGGGGAGACCCCATTACCTGTAAAGTGCTTTGAGTGGAGTGTCCAGAAAAGCGCTCTCCGAGTATGAGGAATTATTTGTTTTGACTGTGGAGCCCATCTTGCATGGTGCACCCTGCAGCCGGCGTGAGTGCTCAGCTCCCCCCATGCTGTCAGGGCTCCCTGCGGTCAGCTTTGCTGGCTCCCCTAGCCAGAGATGGCGCGTTGAGGTCGCCGTTTGCAGAGGGCGTGACTTGAAATTTCCTGAAACTTCAGCCCTTCCATCTGGGCCCAGATCCACACACAGGCATGAAGAGAAACAGCGGTGGCCCTGAGGTTTTATTTAAGGGAGGGGGGGGGGGGTCTCAAGTTTCAAATGACAGAATACAAAGCTTGTTTTGCTGGCTGGATTTACTGAGAGTCTCTTTTTAACAGAATGAGAGTGGAAGTTTACGTGCCTCTTTTCATTCCCGTTGTGAAAGCCGGCCAGTTGAGAGGGGGATATTGTCAGAGCAGACATGTTGTGATGTAAATATGAGAGAGGGATGTGGGTGTTGGGCATGTGGGGGGGTGTTGCTTTAATGGTTCTTGGTAATATTTATTGCCGACTAACTGCTGCTGTTGTCTAAACTGTGACTGCGTCATTATAAACGCCTTCATGGACAAAGGCAGCATACAGTGCAATAATATATGGTGATAACTTTCACCTTTCCTGCAAAGGTGGCGGCTACCTCCCTAATACTGAGGATGATTGTTTTGTTTGTACCTGTAATGTTATTGTATGAATAGATTAATTCTTTTTTTTCAGGAGAAAAAATACTAATTTAGGAGGAAACGCCTGCATAGTGACTCAAATTTCATTTGAGTATTTTCTTTGTAGTTTGGAAGTTTTTTTTTTTTATTTGACAGACATCTAAAGATCTAGACAGGAAGGATGAGATAATAAGGAAATACTTGCAAGGCAAGGAGCTGGCCTGTTAGTCAGATTGACATTTTCCTGTTTCTTAGCAGGTCTGATGACTCCCATTAAGTCATCAGAGGGCTTTCTATTGTCTCCGATTCACACAGCAGGACAGCTGTGGTTGGGAGAAGGGGCGGTTCTGGGCAGGTGGCCTCCTAGGGTTTTCAAAAATCCTTCATTTACAAGATCCAGAGATTTTATCTCTTTAAAATTGTCAGCGCTGATGGAATGTCTTGATGTTGTTGCCACTAAGCATTCCACAGGCCTTTGTCTTAAAACCTGTGGCAGCAGTCCCGCATGATCGCTGGGCTGCTAGGCTGCTTTTGTCTTTTAATGCTGTATTACAGGACTTTGATTGTTGCAATCCTTTGGGGGGGGAAAAAAAACTGGAGGAAGATGAAGGAAGGATATTGGCTTTAGAAAATTAATCCTTCAAACTATGCTTATACTGTGCATTATAAGTGTTCTAAGGATTGTTCCCTGGTTGTGTTAAAACTTCCTGTATTCTCATTTGGTAGACCATGCTTGTGTTTAATATCGCAGCATATAGTCCTTTGTGCGAGAGATTCAGACACTAAGGCCCTGATGAGTAAGGCACTGCAGATCAAGTCACACACAAGAATTGGTGTCCTCTACAATAGTTATTCATTAGTTAAGTTGGTTAAATATTGTTGGTTAAACATTACTGATTTGAGTGATCTGTAAAGCAGTCCCTTAAGTTTATTCACTGCAAATGAGTTGTAAGAAGGAATGAGTGTGCAGTGCATGTAAAAGCAGTATGATTGGATGCAGGCTATACTTTAACAAACCACACTTCTTTGAACACAGTAGTAAGCGGTGCTGTTGGAGGTGGAGAGTGTCAGTACTTCAGGGTTTGTAACTATATACTGTGTCTATTGTGAGAAAACTGAAACCATAAACACTTGGGAGCACGCAAGTTTTGTACCTTACAATTAAGAACAAAATATTTTGAAATTATTCGTATTTAGATTTTTTAAAATTAAAGTACTAAATGCCTTAATTGAGGAAAACGATATTGAATTGTCTGTGCCAGACTGGCCTCCGGTCCAGGGTGTACCCAACCTTGCCAGTCTGGCGCAGACAATTCAATATCGTTTTCCTCAATTAAGGCATTTAGTAGTTTATTAAATCCAAAAATAATTCATCTTGTTTTGTTGCTTGTCAGGATGGGCTCCGGCCCCCCTCTGCCCCTGCCTTGGACTAAGTGTTTTGGAGATGGATGGCCATAACGCACATTTATACCAAACGTGCCATATTTATACAAAAGCACTTTGGGGAAAGCAGTTCAATTTGGAAACAAGGTCCAGAGTGAGCAGACTCCTGTCCCATTTCCTGATGTTTTTGATTCTCCACATGTCCGATGGGTATTTGCGTTCTTAAATATGCAAATATTTGTTGGAACGCTGATATTTTTAAAGACCCTATTTTCCCCCCAGCTATCTATTTCCCTCTTTGCTAAAAGAGGAAAATCATATTCTGAGAGTTATGGAACCAAAATCGGCAATCTCTTCATGTTTTTTCTGTTGTCTAGCACATCGTACAACAGTGAGAAAACAAAGAAAGCAAACCGATCCAGGATCCATAGCTAAAAGTGTAGAATTTACTGTAAATCAAGGTGATTATATTGTCAAAAACCTCTTGAGGCCACAGATTCAGTCTGGAGTAGAGTATATAGTACGTTCTCTGGCTTAAAGCACTGTCCTACACACTGACAGAGTTAAAGAACCAGATCTTTTTCAATCTTGAACAGAGAACACTTTGAATTCCTCTGGCTGAACTATTCAGAATGCTCGAAGGTGTTGACAAAGTCAACTCCATTCAGTTAATTCGACCCCACACTGAAACTAAACTGGGTACAGGGGGCGCTTCTTTTTTCCCAAAGGCTTGTGGGAGTTTGAAACAAGCTACCCAGCCATGTTGCTGGAAGTGCACACCTTAGGGTTCTTGTTCTTATGCATGTGGTGTAATAACTCCACACCTGTCACGGAAGATTGTACAAGTGTACATCTGTTAAGATTAGTTGTAATTTGTATAGCATAATTCAGTGTGAAAGTGACTCGAGGCAGTAATTGCACAACATAACTAAGTTTTGGCACCATTTCACGGATAATAAAATTCAGGAGTGGCCTGCATAAGGCCTCTTTTAAATATGAATAATACCCATGTGCGGTTTGTCTGCATGGCCGTCTCGTGTTTCTAAGGTTTATAATTCCACAGTTTTTAAACCTGTAAAGAGTAAGAATTTGTTGTGGTTACCTGGCTGGCAGCTTCCACATTCCAGTGTAGAATACAGTCCTTCCTTAGGGCATTGCATGGAAACAGTCTAGTCTGACACATTTGTGGTTTAATGACTGCGCCATTGTGAATCATTATGTTAAAGTTCATCTTAATCACTGTGTTATAAGTCTGAGGAAACCTTGTAAGTACTCAAAAAGTAATCACTTGAAAATTGATAGCCTGCTAAACCTTAATTCTTAGGACAGAGGCGTTGGATCAGCATGCACAAGCCCGAAGGGTAACTTAACCTCACTTGCAGCTTTATTTCTCTTGGAAATTGGGAATGATTGGAAGTGCTGGATAAATACCTTGTTTTTATATTACTGGGCATGATGGTTAGGACAGAAGGGTGTGGATTGCCAGTTTTCCTCCTGCTGTCTGGCTGAGTAGAGAACTGCTGTTTCCACTGCCTTTCCTGTAGCTTCAAAGAGCTGCTCGTCAAATAATTTATTTTTGTAGGCCGTACCTAATGTGAGGGGACTAAACATGTTCACATTTCAAATAATCTGATACCCCTGGGCTTGCTTCTGCAGTATCCTTAAACCATGGATGCAGTAATGCACATCTGTCTGTCTTTCTTCCTGTGTACAGATGCGCTGCTCACCCACGCCACACACGGAATCGGGTTCAAAGTCAAAGATCTGCTCCTGTTCAAGTGGGAGTGTGCCTAATGGTAGGAGCAGGGAGACAGGAAGGGGGCAAAGGGCTGCACTTCCTTTTCCTGTTTGTATAACTCTGATAAACAGCTCACAAGTGTCTCTCTCTCTCTCTTTCTCTCCATTAGAGAGCAGACAGTCACATGGGCCAGAATTCTGCTGTTCCAAGCTCCTGTTCCACTCGATTCACATTTTCTCACCAGTATTAATGGAGTGTGATCGCTTGCAGACTAAGTCAGGGGTCCCTGTGGGTTTGTCTCTCTCTTCCGTTTTTGTCCCTATTTCTCAAAATAAAACCCCCTTCCATTTAATACGGTAGGCTGGGAGAGGGGTGGTGTTGAGCAAGCTGAAAGAAAAAATTAATAGTTAACATCTGTCTGCTTTCTTAGGAAGCTGCACTAGGCGTGACCCAGCCTTTGTGTTCAGAGGCTTTCACCCATCTTTTGTTGAGATGCGTTCTTCTACCATCTTGCCACCAGCCCTTCCTGGGCTTCCACCCAGATGGAGTGAACAGGGAAAGAAAAAAACGAGCAAGGGAGTGTTCTCGAGAGAGCGAGAGAGACGGAAAAGGAATGAGATGAACAATAAACACTTTGAGCCAACCCCTCCTCCTTCCCCTCTTCCCTAACATGACTTGGAAAGAAAGAGGAGCTGGAAGATGGGGCAGGAGAGAGGCCTTCATGTTAAGAAGTAGGTGGTGCTCTTCCCTCGGGACCACAATTACAGAATGTTGTTCTGTCAGAGTGCCTCTCCTTGGGATGAGGCACTAAGCTGAGGTCTGGGCTAATTGGTTATAACAGATGGCATGGCGCTGTTATTAAAAGCAGGACCCCTAGTTAAACTCCAATTTGGATTCCAGTATGTCCTCCCAAAACTTCCCCCTGAAGTCAATCGGTGAAGCAATTTCTCAGTCCTGCTCCTGATCTGCTGGTGCAGGGTGGCTCCTGTGTGTCTTCCCAGGTGGGGGCTGCACTCGAGTGATGAATGAACCGAGTCCCATCCTGTGAGCAAAACGCTTTGGGATCCTCTAGGATGAAAAGCACAGGACAAAAGAGAGGATTTATTATGCATTAGAACACTTTCGTCCTTTGAAACGGTTGAAAGGAGAAGTTGGTATTGAGCCACCTAGACAAGAAAGGTGGTGCTTCATATGGAGAGGGCAAACATTTTCAAAAAGTTGAACACCTCGCCTCAGGTCTGTTTTTGTGTTCGTGAATTACCAGAATCCAAAGCTTTTGGTAACTTTCTGTACCTCCCAAGTCAGCTTAGCACCTGCCACCTTATTCCCCCTCTGTTGCAGGCCTGCAGAATGGGGTCTCCAGCCGAAGGCCTTTACAACAGGCCCGGTTTCGCAGCGCCTTAAAAATGTCTTATCCCCCGAAGGGACCGTCGTAGAAGAAGGTTTTTCTCCAGCAACCAGAGAAGGCCAGTCTCGCCACAAAAATTTCCATGCAAACCTCCTGTAATCTGAAACACATTACTGGGCTTACATAAACAGAGCGCGATTAAAACAGAAAGTTTCTAAAATAAGCACACAGCCTTCCAGACGTCTAATTTGCGGACTGGCGTGTTTTGGCGGGGCAGTGCTGGCCGGTGTTTGCATGTTCGTCTTGCTCGTTTTCCCCCCCCCTTCCAGTCCGCTGTGACACAGACCCCTGCTGTATTTTTCTGCTGTTGCTGTGACGGCTGTTGGGATGTTTTTGCTGTATTTCTTTCCCGTTTCTCTGAATTGCTTTCACCTCTAGGCTGCTCTCATAATGCAGCCATCAACCGGGCGCTGAGGGCGGCAGGAATTTCCTAAAGGCAACAAAATGCTCGAGTGTGTGTGTAGGGGTGGGAGTGCTAATTCTCAGTTCTTTGTTACATCTGAAAGTCTTCGTGAGACTTTTACAGCCCAGTCAGCTTGTGACCTTTCAGATCTCTTTCGCTTTAGGTCATGAAGAATCCATTTGTACTCTAGATTGTACGAAATCCCGGAATTCTGTCTCGTCTCCTTCCTTTTTTTCCCCACCTATGTGATGTAGCCCTATGGTGAAGTTCTATTTTTACTCGGACTGTCCAGGCTCCCCATACTGTGAGCAGGGATTCGGAGCAGGCTGGGCTGACCTCACTGTTTGTCATCGCAGCTCTCCCGTGGCTTGGAGCAGAGACCAGCACATGGGAACGCTGGAAACTTTACTACCAACCAGAAAAGAAAAGCAGAGGTTTCTGCAAATAGCATGCTGGGGAATGCATTCAGCTGCTTTTGTCATTCAGACAAAATTAGCATTTATCTTTTCTTTGTTTGCCACTTAACCAGGAACTCCTATCTGGTAAAAAATAAAAAGAAGACAATGCATAAAACCTTGGTAATATTTAGCTGACCAACTAGGAAAAAAAAAGAATGAACTATATTTGTCCTGTATTGTCTTTTGTGGTGTTATCCTAAATAGTTTCTTCCTTGTAATACTTGCTGATACCAAGCCTCAGCCCAAGACCCTCAGATGAGAAAGGACCATTTAAAATCATTTCTTGTATTTTTGTTTTTTCAGTCAAATGTGTCCTTTATCAGGTACAATTTGTCCGGCCCAGAGCTATTGAGCTCCACCTGGTTGCCGTCTCCCTGATATTAGTTTGGAACCTTCCAATGATTTATCGATATTCACTGGTGCGGAATTCATAACTTTCATCAAGTGATTTTCAAAGATGTGGAAACAAGAGATTTTAGAGCTTGAATCCTCCGGGTTGGTAGACTGCGATTGTAGACTGCTAAAATGTGTGCAGCATGTGTCCTGCACCTTCACTCGACAGTGAAGGAAGCTGGAAATGCTGTTTTGCATTATGTTAAAGATCCCTGTGGCGCTTTTTCAAAGAAGAGTCTTGGGTGTTAATTCAGAGGCTGGCAAACAATCAGTGCAGGGGAAGAATGTGGTCTGGCCTGGGTTTTTAAGCTTCTGTTGACATGCCTTTGGCAAGCATGTAGCATAGAGCGCAGAACCAGCGAGCTTTCAAAAGGATGTGGCTTTGTTCTGCTCTGGACTTGGTATCAGTGAGCCTTTTGGGTGGGCGTGGCACTGTGCTGGACCTTTGGGTGGGTGTGGCACTGTCCCACACACTGCTACTGCTGGACCTTTGGGTGGGTGTGGCACTGTAGTGGACACAGGTGCCAGTGGACCTGTCTTTGGGTGTGGCACTGTAGTGGACACAGGTACCGGTGGACCTGTCTTTGGGTGTGGCACTGTAGTGGACACGGGTACCGGTGGACCTTTTGTTGGGTGTGGCCTTTTGGGTGGGCGTGGCACTGTGCTGGACCTTTCTTTGGGTGTGGCACTGTCCCACACGCTGCTACTGGTGGACCTTTGGGTGGGTGTAGCACTGTAGTGGGAACAGGTACCGGTGGATTTTTGTTGGGTGTGGCACTGTCCCACACACTGCTACCGGTGGCATTGCTCTGTGGGCTGGTACTAGTGAGCCTTCAGATGGCACTGTGTCGTGGGTTGGGTGCTGATGATTAGCGCTGAGCAGCTGTTGAAGAATTTGTCCTTAATGCGATTTACAGATGCGAGTTGAAAACTAGTAGCTGGGGCTGAGGTAGGTAGTAAAAGCAGTGCAGTGCAGCGCAGCGCAGCTCGGCCAGCGTATTCCGTGCCAGAGCTTACAGAAATACTTGTATTTCCTCAATGGTGTGCAAATGCACAGTTTTGTTTTCTGATCCTGCCTTTATGAAAAAATGTGAAGGGACAGAGAGTGCATTAGGAAAGCCACAGTGCTTCTCTGCAGCTCTGACCTAACGAAGCCGCTGTATTCCTGTGGTTTCTGGTTTTAATGGGTGAGTGCAAATTATAGGTGAAGGTAACCTCATTGAGCTCTTTCCTAGGCGGAAAGTATGAAGGGTTGACCTTCATTTCATTTATCCATCAGGGAAATGCTGCTTGTTCCTGGTGTGGACGATGGCAGTAAATGTACAGGATATCCTGTAAGGGCTGAAGGTGGAACACCACCCTGGAAGGGAGGGCTGTCCATTTCAGGGCACTACCTCTTGTTTCAGTGGTGATGCAATAATTATCTAAAACACACTCTCCCTCTACCGGTGTACATATCAGCCTTTTGGCTAAAATGAAGTGTAGTATCTCTTTAACTTTCATGTATTCTTGTTTCTGTCAAGAATGCCATTTTACAGGATTTGCAAGGTCACGAAGCTATTTGTTCCTGCTCCACCCAAGTAAGGGGATTTCTTCACAGGATTTCATAGCCCTGAGAGATCCTCCCACACTGTGGCAAAACCTGTTCTGGAACCTTTAGAGTTAGGCTTGACTGTCCCTGGTAATGTTACATGGGACAATCCGGGGGGGAAGGGGGTCTGGGGTGGGGATCTCCAACGTCCAGAACGGAAAAGGCATCATCGATGAGGTCAAACGAGGGGGAACAGAACCATTCTATGCCTATGTTGATCAAAATGTTTCGTCCTGGAAGATAATCCCAGTTCCGGGAGTCAGACAGCCTGAACTCTGTTTGTAGAAGACAGCTGGGGAGGGTGGAGTTCAGCCGGTGCCTTGTTTTTTCTTCCCTTAAATCCCCCGAGAGCGAGAGAAGGAAAGCATTCCTCCCTGAGAAAGAGAGGGAGAGCGAGACGGCTCCTAGGGCTCGGGGTGAGGCGGGCCAGCCTGCTGCTCCCTGCAGACGCTAAGTGAGACCAGCTGTGGGAGGAAGTGAGTCTAGCAGAACAGGAAGTACACGCAGGGAGTGGGCAACACCCTTCATCTCCTTCCAGCTGGACTTGGCTCACAGACTGCTGGGAAATAAGGGGGGGACACCTTGGGATGGCATTCCTTCAACAACCCCCCCCCTCCCCACACACACACATACACATCTCCGTCCTGGCTGAGACCTGCACAAGCCACTGTAAACAAAACCAGCTTTCATCTTCCCCTTTTTTTTTTTAAGGGGATTTGGGATGCAGTACTGCAGAGCCCGGTTTCTCTTTGACCTTCATCTAAAACTTGGGAGTTACTGATGCATGCTAATTGGCTTTTCCAAACGCAGCCCCCTGCCTTAATAAGGCTATATCTGTGAGGTTTATCAAGATGAAAATGCAGTTTATGGCCAATTTAAAGTCCTCTCCCGCAGCTTATCGGTTAGTTAAAAAAAGCCTCAGCTCTGAGAAATGACCTGAAAAGGCCTTAATCTGGGCTTGCAGTCTGAAAAGCTGAGTCAGCTTCTTCTGTCTGCCTGACCTGCCTTGATGAATATGGCAGAAAAACATGATCCGGGCCCGAAGTTGCTGGTCACTGTACTTTCTCTTTAGAAGGAAGACCTGAATTTTTTTTCCCCCCCCCAATTAAAAACGTTTTTATAAAGACCGAGCAGCCACACAGAAAGAGAAGCTTAAGAATGAACAGAATGGAGAAGAAGGGTTAGCCTGCAGATTCAGAGGGGGAGCAGGTAAAACTGAGAAGGAAAGTCCGACACGAGGTTATATTTATATAAGCCCACTATCCATGCAGTGTATATTTTATTTATTCCAGGTTTGAAAAATGTATGCTGTCCTTGATCTGATTTACTGTATGTGAGAGGACCTGATACCCAAGTGGTCTAAGGAGTTTCCTCTGGGCTGTAGGTGCCTTTGACAGCTCAGTACATCTTCACATCTTTCTTACGCTGACAGGCTGCATGCCCTGCACCTTGTTAGCCTTGGAGAGAGAAGACTGCATCGCCCCCGTTGACAACGCCCTGGGCTACTTCTTCAGGGTAAACCGCAGAACAAAAACTCGAGGACGGGAGCAGAAAGAGGTGGAAGTGTATTTAAAGCCCCGACCACCTCTTTACACAAATGGTTGTGGGAGTATGGAACGAGCTACCCAGCCACGGTGTGGAAGCTGATACCCCGGCTTTCTTTGTGAAACAGCAGCTTATTGATTCAAGTATTTCATCCAGATAAGTACCTAGTAGGTCAGACAAGCCAAGCGGTCTCCTCTTGTCTTTGTATACTCTTATATTCTTATGATGGAAATGTGCTCTTACTGTTGAATAGCGTAAGGCCAGCAAAGAGACAAAAACCAGAGCTTCTGTCTGCCCTAAGTAGGAAACCTGCACGGTTTATAGCTGTGATCTGTCCCCTTGCAGTAGATCTTTTACGATGAGAAGTAACAGGACTAAGCCGGGGAGATTGAAATATGTTTTTTTCAGTTCTGCATGGCAGGTTGATTTTGTCTTTGTTTTCCCTGAAAGCACTCGTGGGGGAAATACCGCAGGGGCACAGTCCCTCGGGCCCCAGCTTCGGTGCTCACAGGCGCGTGGCCCCCGGTCTGGGCTCCCGTCCCGCCGTCCTGGCCGCACAGACAGCGATTGATGGGCTGTACCAGGGAGCGCCGGTCCCGCCAGGCCACAGAACAGCCATTGTGATCGTGTGAGCACATCAGACATGAGCGTTTGACATCGGGCTGAACGAGTAACTGAGTTTACGAACCTTTCAGTTCTGTATCCAGCCATTTGCCAGCGGATTTATCCGTCATGGGGGGGGGGGAGCTGGATCCTATAACAGGAAATGGTAGATGCAAGGCGGGGGTATAGCCTGGAGGGGGCGCCAGTCCATCGCAGGGCACGCCCTCACGTTTTCTCAGAAGTCATTAAGCCTGCTAGTATGTCTTTGGACTGAACGCTTTGCAGCCCTTTTGCTAAGATCAAGATTGCTGGACCTCCTCCCAGTGCGTTTACAGAACCTTCCGAGCGGGTTGGGCTCTGTCCTTCAGTCCCCTGGGAGAGCCCAGGGGAAACCCACAGGAATGTGGGAAAATCGTACAGCTTCCATGCGGATAGTACCCCAGGGGCCCCAGTGCTGTAAGGCAGCGATGCTAATCACTGTGTCCCCATGCTGCCTCCAGTTATATGTACTGTAGACAGAGAGACATTCTTTACAGCCCAGGTTTTCCTGTGGGCACGGCAAATTCCTGAGCTGTGGACTGGGCCCTTTGCCCACTGTGTGCTTGCAGGGAGAATGACCCAGGTGAGCCCCAGAAAGAGTGTACTGTGGGCTGTATTTTACACTTTGCTTCTTAGGTGACTGTCATCTACCAATCAGAATCTCATACACGTGGCCCAGCAGGATAAGGCCTGGTACTCATTGCTGTTCGAGTAAAGCAGTTATGAAACGAAGAGGCAGCTCCACTTTGTATGTTAGCGTTTGCGGTCGTCTTAGTGGGGATCTGTGTGGGATGATTCAGACTGAAATTTGAAACTAAAGGTCTCATGACCTTTTTAATTTGTTGGTTTTGAAATGGTTTTTACATTTCCAACAGGATGGGGGGAAAAAGGTACATTGAAGTCCTTGTCCCCCTGTCATCATTGCGAATCAATAAATGTCTAAAAACATTCTAACAAAAGTAAAATAACTTAAGTGCTTCTTGTATTGGTTTGTTTATTTGGGGGGTTCACACATCTTTGGAGTCAGTGCTGACTGTTTGCTGGATCTTGCTGCAGTGTGTGTGCAGTTTGCAGTTTGATGCGTTTCGCTTTGACGTTTTCTACCGAGCCTGGGAGCTTAAGATGGTTGCTTGGTCTGCCCACACCGTGTCACTGCATCCTCATGTTTTTGACACCTTAGAAAAAGCTAAATCTCCCTGCGCTAAACAGGTCAGTTAGCAAATAAGAATAGAAAATGGCGATGTCCTTGAAGTGACTGCTTTCAGATAATGAGAAAGCAGGCCAGTCTGTTTCATGCAGATTTCATTTAGTTGTTTATTTTTTTAAATGTGACATGGGATCATTGCTTTAGGGCTGCCTTTAGATTGTCCCTTGATGTGGATTCTGATTTCTCTAATTCCATTTCATTGCATCAATCCTATCACCTCTGTAGATTCTGTAATCTGTTTTCCCTGATAGCGCTCTCTCTCTCTTATTGATGTTGCCAACATTACTGGGCAATTTTAGATCATTGCATGTTCGTAATGCTTGAGTCCCTGGAAGATGCAGACGGTATATCTCAGAATACTGTCGATTATCTAGTTTTTAATCTTCTTATCGTGGTGTTATCACAGGCCATGTTTTATGAGAGTCCCAAGTTCAAGCCTCACCTCCAGTCAGTGAAAGTTGTTTTTTTATTTATTACCGGCTCATACAGCACATCTGTTAGATGATGAGATACAAAGCCAGTAGGTCAATATAAGCCAGTGGCACAGGTTAGTCACAATGTTCACTTGGTTTCTGTTGCACTTTGAGGTGACAGCTGACCGTTTAAACCTGGTCACTCCTTTCTGGTAGAGTCCGGGGAGCGTGTGTAATGGAAGGGGTCTTGAATTTATTATCCTGTGCCTCCTGAGTGCATTGAGATGTCTTTAGCTCTTCTGACAGCAGCTGGAATGATGTATTAATCAGGTCGTATGGTTCCTTTGTCTGTCTGTGCAGCGTTGGTGCAGAACGGCGGTGTTGTTACAGCAGGGCCCAGTCTGCTGCAAGCTGCCTGTCGGGCTAATTAGTTTCTGATTGCCGGAGTGGCTCTGTTAAAGCAGATGATTTCCCCAGCTGGCAATTAGTGCCCTTCCTGCTTGTGTTGGACGTGTTGCAACACAGCCCCTGTTTTCCCCACAGCCACAGGTGATGAAATGCTTAGAAGGCACTGACACCACCTGCCAGCTGGAGTCTGCAACTGGTGTAGGACACTGCTTGTTTATGCCCTTCAGAAAAGTGCTGATGACTTCAAATGGGCATCCCTGAGGAATCCCATCACGTAACCATTGTATGAATGGCACCAGTTGGCTGTTTTCCTGAGTGTTGTATTTTTTTCCTAAGCAATATTAGTACATATGAGATGGAGAAAAAAAAACATGATTTTCCGAGGAGCGTTTGTGAATTCAACCGTACTATGCTCACAGAGGTGTGATTCTCACGTTTTCCGAGCCTCACCTTTAACCTTTAAATGAGTCAAAGTGTTTTGAAAACTTTTTTCCCCCTGACTACAATGTTTCCTATTTTCTTAGGCAGACCTGTGCAGTGAAAGAACCGGTGTTTTATGGGTTTACAATAGGAATGAGCTGTGGGTTAGGATAAACAGTAGCCTTCTGTGTGCAGAGACCTGCAGAGGATGCAGCTCATTGTAGGAGTCAAGTCTAAACACTGGCTAACTCAGCCATTAACATGGCAGATATTCTCCAAGTGGTGAGGCATTCAAGTGTTCTTCACAGTTTATAATCTTCAGTTGATACAGTATGTGTATATGTCATTCAAGCAGCACACGATAGCTCAGTAGGCTAAACACTTGATTGCTAGGTGTGAAACAATTAGAGAGCACCTGACCACCCCTCTGGATGGGACACCAGTCCATCTCAGAGGTGTCCTGCCAGCAGTGTAGGTCCCTACTTATACAGCTGGAGCCACTGGGGTGAGGAACTTTACTCAAGGTAGAACAGCAGAGACTCGAACCCACAACCTACCAGTTATGAGTCCAGAGGTTTACCCACTGCACTGTGCTGCCCCCCCATACAGTATATGCTGTATCATTTCTAACATTTAGGCAGATCCTTGAACATGTGGTTCTCAAGCTTTTCTGTTGAGGAAAACCTTCAATAGAGACTTGCAACATTAAACATCTTGCTTACTTACTGAAGCTGATGAAGTGATTGATGAAGAAATGCACTTTTTTTTCTCCCCTCTGGACTGAACGGTTTCCAGGCCTTTCTGAACAGCGAGTGATCTGTCCGTAAGCTGAGAAGCTAGCGGTAAGCGTGCCCACGGAGCCCCCAGCCTGGCCGAACAACGAGGACACTCTTCCTCTGGCCTGCGCCTTACGAAAACAGGCCCTGCTGTTGTTGGCCTGCTGGGGAAGGAGCAAAGAATGGGCGCTTTATTCTCCGAGCAGCCAGGTCCGCCCAGAGGCGAGGAAGGAAGCAAGCAGGAGCACTGAAGTTGCTTTTATTCATTTATTGGCTTTTTTATTTTTAGGCGAGAGAGGGAGAGCTCCTGTAGCTCTCGGAAAGAGATGTCCACCCTCTGTTCCTCTAGGGGTGGGCTGGAGAGAGAGCGGTATCTGTCAGCAGTGTGTGTGTGTGTGCGCGCCAGGAGGTCAGGCTCTGCGCAGGCTTGGTCGTTCCCCAGTTTGTCCTTCATGGCCACGCTGGTGAACCCCAGGGGCCTGGTGGTGGTCTGCTGGGCTCCCGGTACCTACAGCAGCCACAGATGGGCATGGGACAGCCTGTGGCAGGGGGGTTCAGAATGGGAACACTTGTCTGGCTTTGCCCTCATGCAAAGAACATGGTAACATGACCTGGAACATGGTAAAACCTCACCTGCACAGGATGAGAAAAGACCCGTGCAAGTAATGGCAAACCCAAAACAGGAAAAAAAAATATTTTAAATGTTCTATGCTGGAAGAAATTATATTCCGATAATTGATTATATCCCTGAGGCTTTTATTTTTAAGCTTTGGTCAAATGTGTGCATTGCAATGAGCTTTCAGATCCATAAACCTCTGTGGAAGTTAAGACAACTGTCAACACATTTCGCCCTGCTTGTTGTGTTTGCTTTGCAAAGCCCAGCATTTCAGATCTGCAGGCCTGTGTGCGTTATTTCATGTGAGCAATGTGAGGCTGAAGTCTCTACAGAGAAAACTGCTGCGAGAAGGAGCAGGTGTAGGTGTACGTCTGACCTCACCACAACAGCTCTTGTCTCCCTCCTGGCCGCAGGTTCGAGAAAGGGCGGATCTACACCTACATCGGGGAGGTGGTGGTGTCGGTGAACCCGTACCGCCCCATGAACATCTACGGGCGCGACACCATCGAGCAGTACAAGGGCCGAGAGCTGTACGAACGGCCCCCGCACCTCTTCGCCATCGCTGACGCCGCCTACAAAGCCATGAAGAGGAGGAACAAGGACACCTGCATCGTCATCTCAGGTGGGGGAGGAGAGGAGAGTTACCCAGGAGCACCCTGGCCTTGGCTCTGCAGCGTTGACACGTACGCTAGCCACCAGGCTGTATGTCAATCAGAATTTATAAAGACGGTCTGGCGAAAGATTAACCCCGACTCAAGGAATCATGTCGCTCTTTATGGGTATACAGTACTTCAGATAGAGTTCCCACAGTTCCTTGCCCAGATGCCCTTCTCTGCCAGTGCAGCAACTGTTGGTTGTTTAAATTTATGGGGTGGGGGGGGGTGTTCTGAGAACCTGCTTCACACCCCTCAAGGGCAGCCCATCAAACTCGGATCACGTCCAGGAGTCTTCTCCAGCCACGGACACTCACGAAACGAACGTCAGCAGCAGTTATAAGACCCTTTATGAATTCAGAGTAAAAAGTAGTCTAGCCGGTGTTATGAAAATCTTTTTTTTAAATATGAGACTTGATTGGGATTTTGTGTAAATGCCGGCCCACTTCTTGCCAGCCTCACTACATATTTTCAGTTTTTCCTCAGTTTGAAAACTGCTGACAAGGCATTGGCGAAGCACATCTGATAACCCACGATGCCCCACGGCCAGAGCTTTCAAACCTCACAGGCTTTGGCAGTGTCTTACAACCTGAGGTCAAACAGAGTGCATCGCCTTCTCCCGAGCTGTTAGCGTGGCTCCCTCTAGTGCTGACATACGTGTAATAATGAACTTCAGGCACATTGTCGTGGTTTGTGAGATGCGTCCCAGATAATTCTAAGACATTGAGTACAAATGTGAGTCATCTGTGACTTAATGTTCTGTTCTTTTGCCAGTTTTATACAGCCTTAGTGGTTGAATGGGCATCAGCATACCTGATGGCAAATACTGAGAACTCCATATGGCAGCATGTATTTTACAATTTTTTGGTTCCCTAAAAAACAAGTTGACATCATTTTTTATTCACTTGGCATTCATTCTGAGCTGTGATGCTTTCTATGTGTAATTTACATGTTTTTGTCTGATCCCCACTGCCTAGATATATTACTCTCTCTAAATTGTCCCAACCTGGGCCCTGTGTTTCTAGGATGAGATACAGATTTCTGTGACTTTTCCCACTCATGTTTCCTGCTCTTAAGGGATAGGTGGAGGTTGCACAGTTCTAGACACTAATGGCATTTTTAATCTTTTCCTCATACATTTCCTTTTTGAATGCTACAGACTGACTTCCATCCATAAAACATGTTTCTAAGTAGGGTGTATAAAATTAGCCTGTTGAAATTGCATGATACAGAATTAAGTGACTCTTACAGAAGTATCCTATGTACATGGACTGTCCCACATTCCAGTATACCTTGCCTTGCATTTTATCAATCATGATAATATTTTGATACTGGTTGCACACTTTATTTGTTCGTCCTTGTGGTGCATAAAGATAGCTTGTTGCCAAACACAGACAGGTGCAGTAAACCATGTTCCACTGGCTAGTGGGCTGTGATTACGTGTGTGTTTCTCTGTTGTGCAGGGGAGAGTGGCGCGGGGAAGACAGAGGCCAGTAAATACATCATGCAGTACATCGCGGCCATCACCAACCCCAGTCAGAGGGCAGAGGTCGAGAGGTGAGAGGGCCTTCACACAGTCTGGAGTCTTGATCCAGTAAAAATCCCAGCTGTATAAATGGGTCTCCAAAGCATCAGTGTAAATGAGAATTTCTACACGATGGGAGTTAGAAATAGGAAATTCTTAATTCCTTATCACCCTGAAGGTACATAGTTCAAAATCTATTTCTATTCTATGATTGCTTCATTATACCACTATCCCACTGTGTGCAGTTATCAGCAGAGTTCATGAGAATATTTTCCTTGTTTAGTGCAATAGTATTGATACTGGTACATTTATGACTAGTTTCAAAGTTAATCATTCTGTGAAGGAGCTCTTTTTATTTTATGCTTCATCTTCTTCTTCACTATATACTGTAGTTACTATAGCATTTTGCACATTTAAAAATCAACAAGCACAGTTTATGAGCAGACATGAAAGGTAAATATTTCCAGTACATCAAAAATTCTTGAAAGGGGTACAGTTTTGTCCAACAGTCATTTTTCATTTTTTCATTAAAACAACTAAGGGCACATCTCCTATGGTACCATCTTGTGCTCTCCTACATTCCAGGCTTGGCCTTATAAATTCTAGAAATGATTAAGGTAGTCTTACTGTAGTCCATTTCTCAGCCTACAGAGAGATCTGCACATACTCTCGAACTTTTATTTAAAAAGTCCTGATTTGTGGCAATCTTCCCTCAACAGCACCTACACGTATACTGCCACAGAAAATGTGAAAAGAGCTGAAAATTAACATGAAAAATATTAGAACCACAAAACAGCTCATTGACAAGTGATCATGAGGGCTCAGAGTCGAACGCTTCCCTGAAAAAAGCAGGAATCTCCTGTTGTCTTACTTTAGCATGCAGTACTGTTGCCTTACAGTTCTCTGCACCCTGCACACTCCCACGTGCGGAGGTGATGCCATACTGTTATGGACAGATGATTGGGAAGACTTTTGGGCAGGTGGTTTGTGATATCACAAAATCCACCTTTTTTTCCTATTGTTAAATTACCAGCGATCTACAGTATATAGATGCACCTATTACATAGCAGACACCCTGGGCACTAGGATGTGCTGAACATTTTGTTCTTGAATGGGTCAGATCTGCAAGTTAAAAGTGACTGTCTCATGTGAGCGGAGAATTTTGCAGATGGTGGAGAAGGGAATCGGTCCTTGTGTTTAGAGCCTCCCCTTGATGAGCTTCTGAATCTTGACTGTGGAGATTCACATGCCTCAAGGCAGGGCAAACACTGAAGTCAACTGAAGCAATTAAAGCTTCATACCGGAGAAAAGTTGCGACATTAAATTCATTAATCAAAACCCCAAGGTTTGAAAACTAACCCACCTGGTGAGAGAGAAGAAAGGAGTTTTTCACATCAGTGTCTTGACTAGTTATTGCTTCAAGTCGAACAATGCAAAATTGCTTTTAATGGAAACACTCGCGTTTATGTGATATCATAGTTTGGAATTAAGCAACATACCCAGAATATCTGAGTGTTGCCCATTAGATCACTTTTCACTTCTCCCATTAAGCCCATTCGGACTAGTTGAATGAGTAATGTCTTGCAGTTGCGGGAGTCTTAGATTGAGAAGTACTGCGTGTAAAGGTGCTGTAATACTGACAGGGTGAAGAACATGTTGCTGAAATCCAACTGTGTCCTGGAAGCGTTTGGGAACGCCAAGACTAACCGCAACGACAACTCCAGCCGCTTCGGGAAGTACATGGACATCAACTTCGACTTCAAGGGCGACCCCATCGGGGGCCACATCAACAACTACCTGCTGGAAAAGGTACAGGAGGGGCCCCCTGAGAGCCAGCTGCATGCAAGAGCAGTGCCCCTTTTCAGCAGTGCAATCAGCAGCACGAGCTTCTCTTCAAGAAGTTCAGGAGTATTAATGACTCGGTTTCTAATGGATAATCCTGGGTTACTGGAAGAAGGCAAGATTCTTAAAACTCTTGATTTTCCAGCTATTATTGTTGTTATTATGCAGCATGATGAGTTTTGAGTTGACACAGTAATTATCTTGTTTAAGTGACTGCACATTTCCAGTCACCCACAGTTATCCAGTTTTGAACTGTTTTACTGTTTAAATGTCTCTGCCCGTGGACGCTGACCCTGTTGGGGTTCTTCCTTAGTCTCGAGTCATCTTCCAGCAGTCCGGAGAAAGAAGCTTCCACTCTTTCTACCAGGTCAGTGTCGCTGCTCTCCTGGCCTGCGGTTTGCAGGCACAAGGTACACTCAGACCAGACGATTATCCTTATAAACGCAATTGTCTTTATGATCCACAAATGTCTTAGCATTGCTGTTTTGTGAGCAGACAGATGCTCGTGTTTTAATGTGCGGTTGTGTTTAAATAGTTTTAAAAATGAATTCTGCCCTACACCGCACCTGCTTGTGGATTTCATTCCAATTAATTATCACAGTCCTGATTGTATGTGTTGCGAAGTGTTCCGGTGTTTTAAATCTGCTACGAAGCCTGTTGTTGGAAATCTTCATGTTTTCCTAGAGCTCATGCCTCAATTCCCATGAATTGGGGACTTTTAAAAGCCAGCAGCAGCACTGAGTTGTTCTTGTGACACAGTCAAGCTGTGATTATTCTGAACTCTGAACTCTGGCCTCTGAACTCTGCTCATGTGTCTTGCCCAGCTGGTGAAGGGGGGTCCGGAGCAGCTCCTGCGATCGCTGCACATCCAGAAGGACCCCAGCGCCTACATCTACATCAAAGTTGGCGGACAGGTCAAGGTACTGACACCTGGGCAAAGAATTTATCTGGGCTGAAGTGTCAGGCTGTCTTGTCTTAGTTAATGAAATCGCATGAGTTAATAATACACAGCAGTGCTGATTAGTGGTAAGTACTCTGGACCAGAAGATTTTTGGTTGAACTCCCGGCAGGATGTTGTTATAATAGCTCTAAACAAGGTGCTTTACTCATGTTTCTGTAATAAATGCCTGGCTATATACATGGCTCTCTGGGTCCATGTGAGTCTTCAAGGTGACTCGTCTGGTAAACGATAAGATGACAATGGGTCTGCTTCACTGTCCCTACTAGAAAAGGGGCTGTTTCAGTAATTCATTAGTTGCGAATGCACAGCTACTTCCATTTTTGCCAGTTGTTTAGGACCAGGCATTGAAGCTTCTTGGGAGAGAACAAGACACACAGTCATACTCCTCCGACACACCCTGGTGCCGCGCCATTCGTATGCAGTGCCTCACAGGATGGCTGTGACTGACACCATGATGATTGACACCTCTGCAGGCCATAGGCATCTGTGACATGACTTGACCCACACTGAGGATATGTGCTGTCCAAGTCACCGGGCTCTTAATTCACTACTAAGAGAACACCTTTACTGCTTGAGTCACTCCGGAGAGGCCGACTGCAGCGGTTTATATAAAGATATAAAGCATTAATGCCGTTTGCTAGATTCAGCTAGAAGTCCCAGCTGCTCAGCCAACGACTGATTAACTATAGTAAATCAAAATATTTCCTGCTTGCTGTTTATTGTTATTGCAATGTCTGCAGAGCAAAGGCACTGGTGATAAGTGATGTTTAGCAACAGCCAGTGAAGTATTTGTTTATAGCCTGATCATGAGATCTGTAGCTCTTGATCAGCTTTATTGGGGCTCGTTTACGGCCCTTGATGGGTGGCATTAATGCAGCACAGCTCAGCTTTACAGCTGCGAAGGTGTAAATCCAAAGCAATTCTAATGAGCAGGCAAAGATAAAGGCCAAACAACCTGCTATCTGGGAGCAGTCCATAGTTCCAGGGTTATACCACATAGAGCTGCGCTTGGCTATGCTTACAGGAATGATTGGCTTTATTGTCTTTTCAGGGACTGCTCTTTTATAGTGCCTATTGGTGTGCAACAAAACACATCTATTTAAAGCATCATATAGGATTGCTTTAGCAAATTGCTCAGACAGCAGCCATGTTCTTGAGTGGTGGTGCACGGTATTTTTAGTGCTTGCAGAGCAGGGTTGCTTGTCTAATAAAAACAAACACTGTTTATTCAAATTTCTTTGACACGTGCTTTAATATCTGCCCTGCAGTTCCTATGTTTCATAAAGCTGATTGCCTTGTACTTTGCACTCGGTCATCTTCTTCCACTTATTTGTAGGTTGCGTTGAGGTCTACATGCCCATTCAGTCTCTAGCTACAGCAGGCGGGCCTCCTTCTCATCCTGCTGTCCTGCCTCTCCCCACAGTCGTCTATCAATGACAGCGCTGACTTCAAGGCTGTGGCGGAGGCCATGAAGGTGATTGGCTTCACCCAAGAGGAGATCCAGACAGTCTACAAGATTCTGGCCACCATCCTACACCTGGTCAGCACTGAGCCCCCCTGTCTGACTCTGTCTCTTCAACTCTGTCTGTCTGTGGGGGGTTTCCCAGTTCAGTTCCTGGCTTTGCCCCTTGCTGAATGTGTATCAACTTGCTGGACCTTCTCCTTGAGCATCTGCAGATCCTTCATAGTTGTTTGTGCTCTGTCCTGCAGATGAGAATGCCCTTTTGTGCGAAAGGATGTGTACAGGCTTTAATCTCCTGAAGGGCACTTTTTAGATGAAAGGTTCTGGTTTAATCTCTCCTAGCGCCTATGCAGCTTTAGTTTTAAATTCTTTTTAAGACCAACCCATTTCTTTATCTGTTTCCATCTGTGGCTTACAGGAATTATGTCTTTCACAGGGCAACTTGAAATTTGGCAGCGATGGGGACGTGACGCTGATCGAAAACAGCAAGCTGGTGTCGGTGCTGGGGGACCTGCTGTCCACCAAGCAGGAGAACGTGGAGAAGGCCCTGCTGTACCGCACGGTGTCCACGGGCCGAGACGTCATCGACAAGCAGCACACCGCGCAGGAGGCCAGCTACGGCCGAGATGCCCTGGCCAAGGTACCAGCTGTGCCCACTGGGCTTGGATTCAGAAAGTGGCCAGGGTTGACAATAATTATGCAGCAGAGCTTTGGTTTGTGAAAAGTGCACTTAAAAACTTTCCTTGTTACTTCAATTAAAAGCATTGATCATCTGTCTTCACGTGTCTGATCAAGGAGTGCTAGTCTGAGTGAAATTTCCAGTACTTTGCAATGGCTTGTATACAAGAGCCTGCAGTTCGCAAATACTTAAATACCTCTAGTTGATGTGAAACTTACCCTCTAAAATACTCTAGAAGCATATTTGTCTTGTACCTAGTCTGAGATCAAGTCCGTCAGATAAGGCTATTCACACACTTTTGTGGAAAGTTACAATTGAATCTGCTTCAGTTTTAATTAAATTCTCAGATCAGGTCACCCTTTTAGTAAGGAGGTGTGAGCTTTGGTTATTCAGCGACGTGCTGAAGCATTGTGGGATACAGGACTCCAGTGTCTGTACAGTCCTGACCAGGAAGCCAGCGAGGAGGAAGAAGCTCGTTCTGGTGAACACGTGCTGTTCGAGACGGTGCAAATGGCAACTTACCTGCCAACTGTGCATTACACCAGGCGTCTTGAATTCGGCTCCCGCCGTGCTGCTGTCTGCTGGCTTTTGTTTCAGTTGTACTCTGCTGCGGAATGGGCTAATTAATTGCATAAATGTAATACTTCTTCCAGGCTCTGAAGAACTGTTCTCTGTGTAACTCCACCTTAAGTGAAGTGCATTATTTGAGTAATTGGGTGTAAAAGACCTTAAGACAAATCCTTTATGTGACTGAAAAAATAATTAGGCGAAGCATTTCGCTGACTGACCCAGTGGGAAATCATCCTGGAAGACTCTCTGGGTTCCCGTGACTTATGTTTAAGGCCCCTACTTCATATTAATATGCAAATTGATTTTATTTAAAAAATATTTTGGCGGCTGCATGAATGTCTTTTTCTCTCCTGCACACAAACAAGCACAAAGATTTGCAGTGAGATAATTGGGAAGTGATTTTATTAATTTGCAGGGCAGAAAAAAATGTGAAACAATTCCATGTCACCTGGAATTCATAGAGTGGAGGGTGTTATGGTTGTTGTTGAGAAAATGGGAACCTTGTAAACCTTCTGTTTTGCTTTTCTGTCTTGTAGGCCATTTACGAGCGCCTCTTCTGTTGGATTGTGGGAAGGATCAACGATATCATTGAGGTGAAGAATTATGATGCCAAAGTTCACGGCAAGAATACGGTCATCGGAGTGCTGGACATTTATGGATTTGAGATTTTCCAGAACAACAGGTTAGGGAAGTGGGTGTGGGTGAAAACACGCTCTTTAATTATGTGTCGCATTCCAGAAATTTAGCCCTTTCTTATCTTGATGATTCAGGCTCGGTCGCCTTTGGAGACTAGTAAAGGGGGTCTTAACAGGAACTTTGGTGCCCATGAAGATAAAGGTCTGGTCAGAAAATGAGGAGCTGGAGTGTCACTGTCCTGTCGGTCTCTCTGTCTCCCTTTTCCCTTGCAGCTTCGAGCAGTTCTGCATTAATTACTGTAACGAGAAGCTGCAGCAGCTCTTCATCCAGCTGGTGTTGAAGCAGGAGCAGGAGGAATACCAACGAGAGGGCATCCCCTGGAAACATGTGAGAACCCATGACTGCACACCACTCGCCTCCCCCTGTCCTGGTCCATTCCAGATCCCATCTGCACCCTGTGTGCCGGGCCCTGTTCTTACAAAGCCTCCTGTATTGAGATGATGTTACAATTACATGTGCACTGGCCTACATAGATTATAATTACACTTATGCTTACGTGTACATGCTGGTGCCAGACGTTCAAGTAGGGAGCTGCGTCAGCATGTGTAATTTGCAATGGTACAGGTAAAGGTTCATTGCATGCTCAAAGGTAAGGAAAAGATAAGCTGAGGTTTCAGCTGTGGAGCCTTTTGGACACCTGTGGTTCCTTGAAGAAGGCTCCACAGCCAAACCTCGTGTTGATGTCAGGTTGCAAGAGCAATCTGAGTCAAGTTCTGGTATCCACGCCTTGGATTTGAGCATGCATACCCTGCGTGGCCAGGTGGAAATCGGGGGTGGACACTTTTGCATCATGCATCTGCAGTGAGCTGCTCAAGTCAGGGGATGCTGCTGCAGTCGGGGGATCCTGGTCTGGCTGGGGAGGAATAGTTACAGCAGAAGGAAAGGCTATCTGAGCAGTGAAAGGGTTATTATAATTGAGTTAAAAGATTTGTAGATTGGTCTTGTAGATTGTAGGTTATAGGTTTGGTCTTGTTATAAATGTATGGGGTCCGATCAAGAAGTAGACGAGTTTTTTCCTGGATTTGCCTGGCTGCAGTTACTAATATTGGCGTCTGTCCTTCCGCCCCCCCCCCCACCCCGAAGATCGATTACTTCAACAACCAGATCATCGTGGACCTGGTGGAGCAGCAGCACAAGGGCATCTTCTCCGTGCTGGACGAGGCCTGCATGAACGTGGGCAAGGTGACGGACGAGATGTTCCTGCAGGCGCTCAACAACAAGCTGGCTAAGCACGCTCACTACACCAGCCGCAAGGTGAGCCCGCCGCCCCGGACCCCCTTCCTCAGCCGCATGGCTTTCCGCTGCCGGCTCTTCTCCGAAGGGAACTAGAAGTTTAGGGGAGTGGTCCCGCTTCCAGTGTGGGATAGCTCTGATTCGTTTCATGTTTTTTCATCCGTAGTCAATAAACCAGAAACGCAGTATGTTGCCTTAGCTGTCTTCATGTACATCAGGTATCAGTGGTTTGAAATAACTAGTGCTTGGTATTTATGTAAGCCTGCTGCTTAGAAAACATCAGATGGATAGAGTGGCGATTCACCTGGAGTCTTATCCATTTCCTTGAGTTTAGGTCTTCTCACATGTGGTCTGTAACCCTGGTACTGAGGATGATATAGAGGCATCAGTAATATGTGGTTGGTTTGCCTTCTAAGTTGAAAACAACGGGGTGAGAGATGTACTGCAAGCGCCCCATTTTGCTGCAGCACCAGTACTGCCCGCGGCCACAAGGTGGAGGCCTGTGTCCACGAAACGAGCAGGTTTGAGTGAGCCGGAGCCGAGCCGTCTGATTGGCTGCCGCTGACGTCACCACCCCTGGCGAGGCTGCGGCGCTGGATCGGCTCCGGGCAGGCCGCCTCTGCCGCCGCCGCCACAGGCCCGGCTTCCTCTTCCAGTCGGGATGTCCCGCATCCGGCCGGCTCGTGACCGTGAATTCTGCACGTGCCGACCGTGCTTCCTTTCTTGCAAAAGTAATATTGCAGAAGAAAAGCCCTAGGGCACAGTATGAGGTGAGGGAAGGGGCGACAGTACCAGGTTCCAGCTGCAGCTCCTGCTCGTGCTGTCTGGTGGGATGCTGTTTGCTGACATTGGCTGCTTCCTTTAGCCTGAGCTGAATTCAGCGACAGATTAACGAGAGGCTGACGCTCCATTAGTGTTGCTGTTCTAGTGTGTAAAGAGCAACTGTGTCTGATACTGTAAGTGATGCGTTCCCTCCAATTCCTGATTTCTTGAATGCCTCCTAATGCATTTTACTAATAGTCCCACGTAGAGGAATACAGCCTTCATCTGTAATTCTGCCATGTGAACCTGCTGTCTTGCCATCGAATCATTTCAGAAGTCCTGGCACTTGGTTTTCCCTTTTTTCCTAATAAAATAATAAAAGTTAGCATTATGTTCTGTGCATGCACACACATATGAAGTGCAGTACAAGGTGGCGGAGTAGTTTAACTCTTCCAAAACAGGTTTTTAATTTAGTTGTATAGTATGCATTTGTGGATTTGTATGTCACTAGTGCAATCCAGCCCTGGAAGGCTGGGGTGTCAGGTTTATTCCAGTTCAGCTCTTCACACGATAAAATAGCTGGTTACCATCTTAACTGGGCCACTTTAGTTACTTCTGCCTGCTTCTCCTCTAAATAGACCTTGAAAACCTGCTATACACCTTCATTTCTAATTAATTGTTTAATTAGTTTTTTTTTCATCCAACATAAGGCTTAAGCTCAATCTTTATTCTACTGCATGTTTTTTTTAAATGTTTTGCACACGTAATTATAATTGTAATGCCAGAATATGTCCAAAAAGTACAGTAAATGCAACTGCATTAATGACCGTGCACATTTCACATGAGCCAGGGAACAGTGCCCCCTCTGACAAACTGACAAAAAAACTGTAAGTATTGTCTGGTGACTTATTTGCTGCCACTGCCTCAATCCCGGTCCTACTGAGATCTGTCGCCAGGATGCTTTTAGGGGAATTTTGATCAAAAGATCAAACTTATTGCCATTCTCCACAATTCACACGCTGCTGTAATCTTGCGAAGCTGCAGCTCAACTGCTGAAGCAGCTTCCTCAACAGCCTTTGATCTCTCCAGATGCTTTGCGTGCACACTGGAAGGCTTTCATTATTTGCTGACACAGAATTTCACTACTAAGCGCAGTCGTGTCCGTTTTTTTTTTTTAAAACGAGGGGGGGAGCTCCTGTCCCATAGGACTCAGCTGTGTTTTCCACAACATGCCGAAACATCCATCTTTCTATGTAAATCCCATTTCTCAAACAACGTCCGAGTGCCTGATCCAACGGAAAGTTGTCTGTTGCATCCAGAGAGACTGAAAAATATGGATAATTTTGTTTTGCGTTGGTTTTTACTCCGTTTCCTGACTATTAGAGTTTTGGTTAATAAATGCCGCTTCTATACTGTGCATGATCATTTTATTGTAATTATTGGATTATTGCCTTAAAATTGTGCGAAAAATATTTTTCAGGTGCTCTGAGAACTGAGACATGCTATTGAATTGCACAGCGCAAATTTGAAAAGGAAGTAATATTCATAAGTCAAAGGGGCACGCAAGTGTACGAAGGGGAATTTTATTGAAGTGCCGCAGACAGGACCTTTCCTGAAGAGTCTTGGCTGAGACATTGCTCTCCGATCCGTGAAATGAAGAGCAGAGCAAGCTGGAGCTTTCTCCCCCCACGTCCTCTGGCTGGCATCTCTTGAGAGCCGTTTTGGCATGTGGCACTGCAGCATGAAACCCTTCACTTGACTCTCCTGATCCCTGGCTTCCCCCTTTGGCCCCGCACCGATGGGTGCTTCTGCCAGCTTTGTGGATGCTCGGAGCTGCTCCCTGCTGGCACGGCGGGAGCACAAGGGAGCCTGGGAGAGGGGGGGGGGGGGGGCGACACGGAGAGAGTCTGCAGGCCTGTGGGATTGTGTCTCAAACTATCGGCTGACCCCCAGCTCTGCAGCACTGGCTCGCTCGTGGAGCTAAAAGTTCACCGAGAGCTGCGCTGTCGCATGCAATAAACCACTCCGGTGACAGTACCATACGAGCTGACATTTTTCAAAAGACTGAAATTTTCCAAGGCCCTGTCGTCTCCTGGGTTCTGGCACTGAATCTGAACAGGCAGTTTCCTTGGTTCTCTTTATTTTTGTCCCATTTGTTTCCCCCCCCCCCCCCCTTCCTTCTCAAAAGACTGGCTCAGATTATGCCTTTAATAAGACGAGGCCATTCCAGCAAATCATTTTCGGAAATTAAATTCAGGATGTCATTGTCATGCGTGCATAATACAGATGGTAATGTCCTCCATTCTTAATTTACATAATGAACAATTTACTTTGATATCCTACACGCAGGTGCGCTTACTGATTTAGGTATATATATGTAATTAGTATGAGCAGCTGACAGCCAGGCTGGATATTAATAAGTATAGTGGTGTGTCAATCAGTTTGATTAGTTGTCCCATGCAGAGACACTGCCAGCAGCCTCTTGTCCTGATCGCTGAGGCTTGTCGGTATGTATTACGTGCTGGAAGCTTCTGAGTGGGAAATGTTTGTGAGATTTTTACGGTCTTTGTCTGCGCACCGTACATGTGAGTGTGTCTGCAGTGTTGAGACGCGTGTCTGTGTGCAACCGTGTGTGTCTGCAGTATAGGGATGCGTGTCTGTGTGATGGGACATTTGTTGATATTTTTTTATCACTATGCATGTTATAAAAATACAGATGTAATTATTGGATACTTTTCCGGTGTTGCTTTCGATATCGGTCACTGGGGGAGCAGACATGGGTGTGTACTGTTTCACTCGCAGCTTTGTAGAAAACTTTAAAAAGCAGAGACCAAAAAGAAATGAACCAGCAGCAGCGATTTTCTGGCAGTAGTTGCATCGGTGTGTGTCAAAAAGTGACAAACTGACCCCGAATGCCCCCCTCCCTGACGCCAGCAAGGACAAGGACCCAGCTGGCCCTTCTTGGACGAGCCCTGCTTTGGCGCGACGTGCCAAGTCTCGTATCCCAAGCCTCTGAAGCCCTGATGGGCAGAACAGACAAGCAGGGAAATGTCAGCGTGGTGCCACTGTTGTGTGCAATGCCACCACCGATTAAGGCTGCTCGGTGTGTGCTGTCGTGAGCCAAGCTTCAGGGTGCTCGGTGCCACGGTAAATCAGAAGATATCACAGGCCGGCAGGAGCAGCAGTAGATGGGGACAAGAGCGAAGCTCAGATTTTCTTTCTTATGGTTTTAAAAAGATGTTGGTCCTCAAGCTGCTCAATGAAGCTTTGTGTGGCCTTAATAACTGCAAGATTAGGTTACCGTAAAACAATCCATGTGTTTTTGGATTTAATTTTGCAAGGTACACCTACTGTATGCTTTTGTTTGGTTAAGTGCTTGTGTTTAGAAATACTGGTTTCAGTAGCTCACAAGCATCTGTGTCTTTGTATTTTTTGTATCTTTGGTGATTAGCTGTAAGCAGGTGCAACAAGCAAAATGTCTCATAATTATGAATGGTTTTGGGTGGTGGTGTGTTTTTTTGTCTAGGGATATTGCTTCGCCCCCTGACCTTGGACTCCTTGTGCTCTTGTTCTGTGTGTGTGTGCGCGGCTGCCGCCTCATGTGCAGGCTTTTCCTTTTCAAGGCAGTGTTAGGTTTTATGAATGGCACCTCGCTGATATAATGGGGAAGAAACAGCACTCACTCTCTTCAATCTGGAGAAGGTCCTCCTGTGGGCAGCCGGTATTCCGACAAATACGGCCGCTCTCCTGCATTCACACTGTGCTCTTTATATACACACAGCAGCTTGTCTTCCTGCACACTGGCTGGTCACAGAGCATTACACTCCGTACCTCAATACAGCTCTGCAGGTGGCTACTATGCTCTGTAATATGAGAGGAGGTGGAAAAAGGTGTCTGCAGTTCTTAAGCTCCCTGTTTATACATTCCCATCGCTCTCCAGTCACCAGTGTTTTTTTTCTGCAAACAGCAATATTAATCTCTTCACTTCCAGCACTCTCTATGAACAAGCACGATGGATGCCTTGCTGTACTTTAGATCTTCCTGTTACTTCTTTTTTTTTTTTGCAATACAATGGTTCAGGGGCCTTTTTTTATGAAAACCTTTTTGGCTTTATGATGTCCCCCTCAGTAAGGGTCACACAAGGCCCCTTCAAATAGAGCTGTTTAGGAAATGTTGAAAGTAGAGCTGCAGGTCAAGTCATCCACATCAGAGGGGATTCATGCTGTCTCGTGTGTGTGTGTCAGTTTGGACACTGCAACTACAAGAGCTTAGGAGCTTTACCTGAGTGTTCTGGGTCCCCCTGGACAGTCTCTGATCACCCAGGGGTGTCCCTGGTCCCTAGGTGAATACCATAGTTCAGTCTTGCTATGCTGGAGCCGTTGGGAGCGATCGTACCAGTTGGGTCTCCTCCTGTCATGGCCAGCATTGAAACGCAGGTCATTAACGCTGTGCTCTTCCTCTGCTTCTCTCCTAGCTCTCGCCCACGGATAAGAGCCTGGAGTTTGACAGGGATTTCCGCATCAGGCACTATGCAGGCAACGTGGTGTAAGTCGATGCCTCTGGGGGCTCCCTGGCTCCTTCCACCTTTCCAGGGGGTGTTCTTGTTTTTGTTCATTTGACAGTCTTGAGATCCCAGCTTCCTGCGTGTCGCCACCCGGCTCACCCCACGCTGTCTTCTTCAGCCAGCACGACCAAAACCCCTCGTCTCCCTGTAGCATCTCATCTCAGTCAGTTCCCACTCGCAGCCATAACGTTGGCTGTCATGCGTGCGTGTGCTGAGTGCTTGTAAGGTTAGCTGGCCCATTCCGTGAGGTGCTGCGTCAAGAAAACTGAACTGTGGAGCGCTGAGATCTGCTGCTTGTACGGACGGGAGCTTGGGGACCACGTTTCCAGGAACAGCAGCAGATCACTCCGGAGGGACCTCCACAGTGTGCTCCAGTGATATAGATTCAGGCAGGCACTGCTTGTGTGGCTCCGGCTGAGTACTGTCATTCTCCATGGGACAGGCTCCACATGGCCCTGTATGTACGTGCAGGAGATGCCTATTCTACGCGGCTCACAGTTTTCTCGCTGCTGTAGTGGAATAGTGTGCTGCTGAGAGCTGTCCACCATCAGCTGTTCTCTTGTGCTGGTGAAAAGTTTTCATTGACAAGTGAAGGTGCCTTTAGTCAGCCTCGGTTCTTTCAGAGCACAGCGGTGTGCCCTCGTGGTGTTTTGTTGAATAATGTCTAATTACAAATGATCTAGCTTTGTTATTTTGAATGAGAATGGGGAAATATTCTTTGTCTCTGCAGTACTCTATTTGCATTTGTAGTTTACTGGTAATGATCAAGGTGTGTCTTCAGATGGAATATCATTATTTTCTGAAAGTGGAGGGACAAGTGGTTTTAACAGTGAAGGTAAAGGGACCAATTTTCTTTAATAAGCTCCCAGCTAGAGACAATATCTGAGCTTGTTATGTCACCATGACTTACCTGTGAGTTTTAAAAAACTGGTTCCTTTAGAGGGGACAAGAACAGATTTTGAAAGCTGACCGTCTCATACATTTCATTCTTAAGTCTTAAGAATTTTTTTATTGATTGTGAACACCTTTCTCGCACGGCTTAGCTTTAGAAAGTCCTGTTCTGAGGCCCCTTTTGCTTTAAGTTTTGATAACGTATCTCAGCTAATCTATACAACTGTTGTTTTCTTTTTGTGTCTTTTACACAATTTTTGGCTGTGATAAGACGCTGAAGGCCTGAAATTCTTTGTCTGCGCAGGTACTCAGTGGTGGGTTTCATTGACAAGAACAAGGACACACTGTTCCAGGACTTCAAGCGGCTGCTGTACAACAGGTACAAAAAAGAGGGTTCTGAAAACTTCTTCCTGGTTTGAAGCCTTTTTTCCCCACACTTAACCCTTTGCAATTACCGCTGCTGCACTGGGGAAAATGACAGGCTGTTTTTTTTGTTGTTGTTCCAGCCAAGCTTACCTCGTACCATGTTTCCTGGAAATGATTCTCTTGACTTGGAAAAGAGCTAATGTGGCGTGCAGAAAGAAATTTGTTATTTTAGTGCTGTGACATCAGCAGGTGTGTAGTGCTGTAAAAAAAATAATCAAGGTTCAACACAAGTGGAGAAAGCACAGCAGATCCCCTGTACTGGAGAGCAAGGATAGTGGAGAGGTCTTCAATCAAATGCATCCACAATTACAAGAAACCCAGTCCTGTTTCCAGTGTCCTCTCCTGAGGTGAAGCAGTACCATAATCGTTGAAAGAAAAACATAATAGAAAAAAAAATGTAGTAGAAAGAAATAGTATGCATAATTTTAGAACTCTTCTTTTTCTGTTCTGTCTCCGTTTTCTTTTCCGTTCTCTGTCTGCCCTTTCACCTGTCTCGCTCTCTCTTCCTTGCCCTTCCATTCTCTCTGTGCATTTCTCTTGCTCTCTCCCACCCTTTCACTCCTCCTCACCTTCCCGGCCACTCTGTCCGTCTCTCTCTCTCTCTTAGCTCTAACCCGGTGCTGAAGTCCATGTGGCCGGAGGGGAAGCTCAGCATCACGGAGGTGACGAAGCGTCCTCTGACAGCCGCCACCCTCTTCAAGAACTCGATGATCTCATTGGTGGATAATCTGGCTTCCAAGGTGGGACTCCGCCTTTGTTCTCCAATCACTGAGAAGCAAGCAGACACACCTTCCTCCTCCGGCGTCCATCCAACTTCAGCACTGCTGTATTTCTGTCGTACAGCCGGAGTACTGTGTTATCACAAATGTTTTTTTTTTGCTGAGACTCTTAGTCATGAAGATCCAAGAATAGAGTACTTTGATTCTCTTAACTAGCTCTGAGGTATTTTCAGTGCTTGTCATTAAGGCATCAGCACTAGAGAACCTCGGAGAGTATTTTAATTTAACTATAATTTTCTATAGAGTCTTCCGTTAAGGGGGGCTTGCAGTGTGGCTCAGCCGGTAAAGGCTGGGCTTTGTGATCCCAGGTCTGAGTCTGGGTTATAATACTAGCCGACTGTTACTGGGGTTCCCCAAGCAGAGGGGCGCAGTTGGCTCATTGCTGTTAAGGGTCCGGTAGGGTTATTTGGCCAGGGCTTTCTCAGCTCTTGGTGTCTCAGTGACCCCCACGGCCTCCTAGATTCATGCAGGCGTACGGTGCTGCCTGTGAGCAATATGCATCTCCTCCAGCTGGGACTCATCCCCCATGGGGGCCTGTGATGTGTTAGAAGTGTCTTGAAGTGGTGGGGGCGGTTCAGAGGAATCCACCTGGCCCTTCCTCTATGCGAGGCGAAAAACACTAATCGTGATTCCAAATTGGGTCGGTATGACGAAAAACACTGGGCGATTATGAAGTGACAAAAAATATACCCTCTCTGTTTCAGAATTCCCCACGTTTGGTGGAAAGGAAGCTCCGATTGCTTTGGTCCAGTCTAACTTGAGAGTTTCTTAATAGGTCCGTGCAGTTCTCGGGTTACAGTCGGAGAGGCAGGGTCCTTTCGCGGTCGTCACTGCTGAAAAGCACTCCACAGCGGCGTGGTGTTGACTGGGGCTGTCCTGCTGTTGTTTCCGGTGAAGGAGCCCTACTACGTGCGCTGCATCAAGCCCAACGACTTGAAATCCCCCCTGCTGTTCGAGGACGAGCGCTGCCGGCACCAGGTGGAGTATCTGGGCCTGCTGGAGAACGTGAGGGTGAGGCGGGCCGGGTTCGCCTACAGACAGACCTACCCACGCTTCCTCCAGAGGTACGGTATCCTGGGAGAGTAGGGAGATGCCTACCTTTTCGTTAGGATGTTGCTGAGCCCTGTCATGTGACACATGAAACGGCATCGAAACAAAATCACGACAAGAGAGCAGACAAGCACAGTGGTGTCTAGTAGCCTGGTATTGTGCATGGTGCAGGGCCTGATGTAGATGCTTACAGTATATAGAAGGGGGAAAATCAAGCTCTGTATTCTTATTCAGCTTTGCCATACAGTCTGTGAATTGTATTTGTATTTTTTGTGGTACCAAGGGATCATTTCCAATCTAAGTCTGCCTGACAGTGCTTGAAACAATACATTCACATCAACACGGAGGCAAGATCTAGTGACATGTACTGTAGATAAGATGAAAGTCCTAAACCTGTGTATCATCTATACATAAGACAATGTTCTGAGCAAGATTAAATTCACCGTTGAAAACTGTTGAATTAAAAGTATTAAAAAGATCTATTTAACGGTGCATTGGCTCAAAGAATAGTTTCATCGTTGCGGGAATAAAGGAGATTCCATATCTTTATTTTCATAACTCGGTACTGAGTCAGTCATGACTTTACATGCCTTGATGTTGAAAAAGATTATAGAAAACTTAGATGCATTAGATTATACGATCGATTATTTAATCGGATACACTTAAGCTTCCTGATGGCGTAAGATCATTTCCAATAGGGGCATTTTTTTCTTGAGTTATGTTTAGTCTGCTAAACATGAAAGCTGTCTTCGCATGTAGCTGGGGAAGGATAACTTACAGTATTTGCTTGGAATAAATCCCTTAGTCTTAGTAGGTGGACTGGAATGACCACTTGTTATGATGGCCTAAAACCCAAAAGGCTGGACCACACGGACTGTTCCCCCTATAAATTACACTTCAGTCTGTCTCTTAAACTCTAAGCACGTGGTCTGATTAATATTCTTCCAGCCCTTCAGCTTCAGTCCCCACACTGCCGTGCTCTGTTCTCTCAGCATTTTCACTGATCCTCTTTGTCCTTATCCCTGATGTCTCACCTTTTCTTCTGCCTGTCACTACCTGTGCCACCTTAACCTTGTACCAAGAGCCCTGACTTCTACAGCTCATTTATATTTTGTATATTTTAATGCAGCAAAATAAGAGTGATGTGCAGTTATAAATATTCTAAACGCCAACTTAATTTTTCTCAATAAGATCTGGAGTCACTAGAGCCCACATAGAGTCCTGTTCCATCTGCCCTAGGTTACAGCTCACACGGCTTCATTCAGTCCTCAGCTTCTCTCACCAGAGTGTCCCCCAACCCTGCAAGCCTCACCTTTGACCTCTCGGCTGATCGGGACTTACATGCTCCAACTGTTCTGTTTTCTTCCTGGTTTTAAAGGGGGAACTGCGACGCTATTTTTATATTTCGGGGTTAGAAAGAATCAGCATTGAGTGCATCAACCACAATAAAAGTACAAATTACACAGTAACTTGTAAAGCCTGCAGTTTACATCACCAAACAGTTTAAATTTCCAGGTAAGTGCAGATAATGCCCATATTCTGTGATTCAGAATGAGGCAACAAAACACCTGGTGACGAGCTGCCGGCTTCTCACAGTGTAAAGAAGCAGGCTTGTGAATACACCTCTTTTAATCCAATAGAAATATTGCTTTCGATTTTTGAGACGTTTTTGCCAACAGCTACTACTTACTAGCATGCAGATCACATCGGAAACATTTCTGCGGTGAAATATCTTATGCACCACCTGTACTTATTCACTCGTGCATCTCATTAGGGTGACTACTGAGCAGGAAGGGCCTCGTCACCTTGCAATGCAAGTTTGCGAGATACATGGCAGCTTATGGTACTTTCACAAAGTTCACAATTTTGTGCTTAATTTGAAATATGTAATTCTGTAACATCAATTAATTTATTTTGTTACCGAGATTTAATTACCGGTCTGAGACAATTGGGGGGTGCGGTTTCCACCTTTGGGGCCGGTGAATCTCTTGAGCCCCTGGCGACTCCATGAAGCTGTCCTCTCCCCTCGCCGCAGGTACAAGATGATCTCCGAGTTCACCTGGCCCAATCACGACCTGCCGTCAGACCGCGAGGCCGTGAAGAAGCTGGTGCAGGGCTGCGGGTTCGAGCACGACGTGGCCTACGGCAAGACCAAGGTGTTTGTGCGTACGCCCCGCACCCTCTTCACTCTGGAGGAGCGGCGGGCGGACATGGTCGCCAGAATCGTGCTCTTCCTGCAAAAGGTGAGGCCGAGAGGTGCCAGGGTCCGAGCCGAGCACAAACGCACACGGACACACGACACACCAGCCTGCGTTCCTTTGTGAGGACTCCTCCTTGAATCACATAGTATTTTTAACTGCTGCACTGTACTCTGCAAAAACTACACTCCCGCAGGGTGGAACAAAAGGTGCCAATCATGATTTTTATTTACCTGACATTTTGCAGGACCGCAGAAAGGCTCTTAATACTCAAGGTAAATTGTGTTCATTGTGATTCCCCAAAAAGAGGAGTGGGCACCCAAAGTCCTGTAGAGGTTTTTCCAGTCACGGTACCCCTCACCTGACCAGGTGACTTTGTCTTATGAGCTCTAGAACTGTCGGCTTGTATTTCTACTCTCTCTTCATGTTTGGAGTGATTCTGACTGGTCTTATGAGCCCTGATTTCTCCTCTTTTGAGAAATTACATTGTCACTAAGTTTGCAAAGAATGTGTCAGCGTTTGTAACAGGCACCGTGACCCTAGTTTTCCCAGAGGCTCACTCCACTTCCTGTTTGCCATGGCAACCTTCTGTATCGATACCCTTCAAGTCACTGTCCGGCTGAGTTACATAAACTGTCAGGTTTACCTTCACCTCCAGATACAGATAGTCTTACAAAGTGCCCCTTATTTTTCATTATTTTTTCAGTTGAAAATCGCTCTTTTCATCCTTGTAGTGAGGCCTAAATAAAAGTTTCATGAAGCTTTATGTATGAATTATTTGTTTAAAGGAAGATTTAGAAAGCTTAAATGGAATGCATGGCTCAGTAAATAAACAAAAAATGAGGATGTAAACACAAATGTATTTTTGAGCTAAATATCTGAAGGGTACATTGTGTATGCATGTTGTCATCTTATTGTCCCATGCTGTCTTATTCATTGCCTTTTGTGAGACCTTTGCGTCACGTTAACAAAAAAATAATTTAAATTTGGGTGCAGATGTGTTTAACGTCAGGGTCCCGACGAATTAGAATGGTGGAGAGGTTGCTGTGCAGATGGAAAGCACAGAATTTCTGTTGACTCTCTCACTCTGGCTGGAAAGGGCTGACGTCACCCTTCTCTTCAATCCCAGTCTGCTTTGCTTTAGCTGTCCCACATGCCAGGACAGGGGGCCTGTTGAGAGTCTTTTATTGTGCTGGTTTTGGAAGCAGAATGAGCTATATCAAAGAGGGGCAGAGACTTCTTTCTTTCAGTTGTCTGGTTACCATCAAGCACCCCACTTCCTCCCCACCCCCATTAAGAGGTGCTGCCAGAAAGCATATTTGTGGGGTCACTGGACAAAACCCAAACATTTTGTCTTCCCTTAGAGCTTTTCACCCAGGTGGTACTAAATTAGCCTCTTTTTTGTGGATCTTTCTATAAAGGAAACTCAGCCCCTTCTGAGAGAGCAGTGCAAGGGCAGTTCTCTCTTGGAGGCTTTTAGATACGGTGTTCAGGACAGAGGTGGCTTGGCTCCATTGTAACCTTTATATTTTTGCTGTGTGCAAAGTGTACTGTAATAAAGTTCTCACCTTTTTAAAAGTGGATTTTTTTTTTGTCTCAGGCAGCTTTTTCACCAGCTATTTGCCGTCTCGGAATGACTAGCATCTTGGGGAGCTTTTCCATTTAATTCAGCGGACAGTTTATCTGTATTTAGCGGTTTCTAAATTGATTTATTTAGCCTCATTGGGAGAGATGCAGAGGGTTTTAATGAAAACACCTTTTAATGAAAAGGTAAAGCACACAGTAAACAAGGTTTTTTGTCTTGCTCAGTTAGAATTAAGTCCATTTTATGGTGTTTTGATCTGGAATTTACATGATCTCTAACATTAACTGCCTAAGTACTTTAAGATGGCTTTCACCATGGAAACATGCTACTGTATATAAAACAATGATTGATCGATTGCTGATGCACCTAAGAACAGTTAAAAAGGAGAGGAGACCCTTTGGTAGTTGGTGATCCAATTATATACCACCTAAAGGACGCCTTACTAGTGCATTATACTATTTTACACTCCTTGATTTTAATTCCATGCTTTTAATTACTGTACATATCCTATTATTTTGTTTGCCTTTTCTACTGTTTGCACACATTACCTAGAAGGTGAATTAAGGTTTCAACATACTCTAGGCATCCAAGTCTTTTTCATAAGTAGTCTCTTTCAGCTCGCTGTTTTCCTATTTTGCATTTAAAGATTGTTTTTACTTGAATGCAAACTGCTGGAATTTTCTACATTTGAACATCATCTGCCAGGATTTGCCAAGCCTTGTACAGCATCTTGAATTTTCCCAAGCAATTTGACTTCTCAGGACTGTGCAGGACTTGGTGTATGTTCCCATCTAGAAGGATCTTCAAGAGCCAACACTCAGCTCCTTAAGACAGGGGTGTCAGACTCATTTCCTGGAAAGCCAGCTGTCTCTGCAGTCTGTTCCAAACTCACAGTTTATCTGATTATTTTCTTTCCCAGACACCTAGAGGATGTTTCTCAAGGTCTTGTACAGTTAATTACACAAGACATTAACTTCATTACAGACACAGTTACCTATAAATCACCTCAGAGCCTGGTTAGATGTGTTACAATTATGCGGTTAATTAAAATATTAAAACCACTGTGCAACTGAGAGGCTCAGGTGGAACGAAAACCGGAAGCCAGCAGGTCACCAGATCTCCTGAGTCTGACACCCCTGCATTGAGACCTACAAGGTACCCGGTGAATATACTCCAATCATGACCGAAATACACATTTTTAATAAACATTTAGAATCCACTGACTGATTAAACAAATACATGCATACAAAAATAGTATTATGTGACTTTAACTGCTGTAGTACTATATAGGTTTACAGTAGGTGTTACTATATTTATTAGTCATTAAATCACTATATCCCGAATGTTACATTAAAATATTTTGGCGATGCCACTTAATATTTATTTTATGAATGCAGTGCCTCTCTTTTGTGTTCGCTGGTGCAATTTGGAACAGAAGAGGTCCGTGAACTTCTATACTTCTTTGATTAAATCTTATCCTCTCCATGCTGTGTGTACCAGCCTGCTCCCCATCTCCCTTGCCCAGCTTTGCTCCCTTGTTTCCAGAATGAGCTGCTGGGGTTCGGGGCCAGCCAGAGACTGCAGTTTCCCCTGTTTCTGAGGAGGGAGGGATGGCCCCTCCAGTGTTTAGGGCGTAATTTCCTTCAGTAAATCCCCTTATCGGCTTCTGACAGGCCTGGCTCAGCTCTGCCAACACAGGGGCTGCAGTGGTCACTGGCACAATCCTTCGGAGAGGGAGCCTGGCTTCAGTGCCACCCCCCACGCCTGAGCTCCGTTTCTCTCCAAAGAGGGGCAGAGGTGCCAAAAGAAACGTTTATTATGTCCAGAGATTTGCCTTGTCATTTTCTGGGATCTACTTCACTCTGAACTGCCATTCAGGGCTCAAAATGTTGCACAGAGCTTCTGTGATCTATGCCTTTTCCCATAAGCCAAAACAAATTTAATTCTTTTTTGAAGTATTTCTGCATTTGCTTTTCATGTTAATTAATAGGAATGACCCATTCATCAATCAAGATCCCCCCCCAAAGTTACCAAAAATGCAAAGCCACTGGAAGTCTTCCTGATGTAAACTGGTCTTTAAAACAGCGTTACGATGCTGGGAGTCACATGAGACATTTTCTCCTTTCATGTCCAGCAATATCTGACCTTCTATGCATTTCTCTTGCACATGCAAACAGTAAGACCCCATGTGGCACTGGAGACAACTGCATAACTGTTCATGCTTTGGTTTCATATTGAACCTGTAGCACAGAGCATCTTGCGTTGCTCTCAAAATACATCCACGGCCTTGTTTTTCTTAAATCTGAATTGAGGGGGAATGGCGTTGACAATCTCTCAGCCTGTCAGCCCCCCAGTCTGAGGCCGGCAGACTGCCTGCAGCTGTTTTTGCTTTCCAAAACTGGTGGTGGTGGTGGTGGGGGGTGTTCTCGAAGCTGACTTGAGGGGTGCGGATTAAATAAAACAAAAAGCAAGAAGCACTGAATAATGCATGCTTGCTCCTTTTTAATTAATATTTGATGGCCCCGCCCCCCAGGGCTGTCAGTGCAGTGGTGCGTGGGAGGGGTGCCCCCCCATCCAGAAGGGGGGCCTTACCGCCCCTCCCTTGTCAGGTACCAGCCCCTCAGACCCTGCTTCTGACGGAAAGAAAGAGGGAAAGAGAGACATGTTTTATTCTCTTTTGGAGGCACAGGGCCACAATGTGAAATCTTCAAAGGAAATGCAGCCTTATGCAAGGTTTGCAGGCAGAGACTGATGCAGGACCCGAGCTGCTCTTTTCCAGGGGAACTCAGTCTCCCACCAGGCTGGCCTGACACTGTTTGAAGTGCATACAAGTCCGGCGAGTCTGGGTCACACAGTTGCAACGGACTAAAAACAAATAAAAGGAGGCCCTTCCACCCATCTAACATGTCTGTTAATAGTTAATTGATCTCAAATGGAGAAGGCAGGTTGTCAGCAGCAACAATGGCTTGTTAACCGGTTCCATACTCCAGCAACTCTTTGGGTAAAGGCTTGCCTTCTGTTCTCAGTATTGAATGTGCTTTCCTGTAGTTTCCACCTTTGTGTCCTTTGGTCTGGGGGTTGCTGATCATTTTAAGCAGCACGCCTTCATCTGTTTCTGTATTTGTTTGCGGATCTGCTGATGGGTTAATACGGTCTTCTCATCGCGGAGAACGCATAAGCTGGTCACGGGTCTTGCCTGCTCACATTTTCATGCAAGTAGCATCCCAAAGTAAAATGTCAGGAATGTCTTAAGTTACGGCTCATGTCACTTATGGGAGAAGCCCTGGCATATTCTTTTGAAAATGTCAGTCAGGCACTTGAGACTGAGGGAAGCAGTAGCTCTCTAAGATGCATACCCTGAGTCAGTACTTTTTTTTTTTGCCTTTTCACTGCTTTCTAACCTGGTTTAGGGTTCCTGCTTCTGGAACTAGTTGGATAAATCTGCACATCTTCTTCTCACCCAACGCCTATTCCTGTCTGGTGTTCCTTTTTGGGGGGTTCCAGCTGCTGGAATCGGACAGGGGTGAGGGGAAGAGGGGTTGTGGGGGTGGGTGATGTCTAGGATTTAGCCACGAGAGAGAGGAATAGTGAAGGTGCAGAGACTGTTACTGGAGGGAGCTGCACCTGATATTTCATTGATCCTGAAGTTCTTTTCCCGGCATCCAAGCTCCACTTGTGACTTTCTCTTTTCTGCATTCTGTATGTGTACACAGTCAGCAGTATAGAGCTGAGATTTAATAATGAGCCACAGTAGTCGGGTACCTCTTAGCCTTTTTCATGCGAGACAGGTTTTGTACCTTGTCTGTTCTTGGAGACTGCTCAAATGGCATGGCTTTATCTATTATTTGGAGATTTCTGCAAAGATATGACAAAATTGTCTGTACTATAAACAGTTTTGCATGTACAGTATAGATTTTTTTTTTCTGTGAATAAGAGTTGTAAGATCTGGGATAAGGTAGGTAGAGGAGATGATGGTTGATGTTTGCAAGGTGTCAAGTCCAGTCCGACAGACTGGCTACAGGATCCTCTTCCTTCAGAGAACAGGATTGAACTGAATAGGATGCCATCAGAGGTGAGGCTGTTAAAGCTTCGTTCTTGTGGCCTACTCAGTTGGGTTTTTTTAAAGTTTGGTGCAGACAATTCTATATCTGTCTAGGTCCCCAGTTTCACCTGACCATTTATGTTTTTACATTCCGGCTCCCAGTGATGACCTCTGGACCCAATGTGGGATGAATGAGGAAGCGCAGACAGTCCCCTCTCAAGCCAGTCATCCCCGGGCACAATACAAGCTCTGTGTGCAGCGACAGCCAGGAGGGTCGTGCCCCGTATTGAGCAGCAGCCTGCAGGCACCTTGGGGGTCTTGGTCCGGCACATCACTGGGATCCAAGGGAGCCCTTGACCAACTAATCCCAACGACGGGGAATCTCAGCCTGGCTCAGAGCGTAAATGTGCCGCCCATTTGAAAATGAGAATCTTTGTCTGGCTGTTCCTCTTCTAAGGCAGCAGCGTCTCTGTCCTTGCCGAGAGCTACAGCTCTCCTATTATCTGCATTGAAATGAGACTGAATCTGCAGACGTATGGTACCTTGCAACATGTGTTTTGCCCTCATACCTATGGATCCGTGTGCACTAGGGCATATCTTAACTGCGTGTCGGCAAGTAGGAAAAAAAGTGCCCTGAGCTCACTGGCAGTCTGGCTGCTTGTGAGGGAAAATGAGGATTGATGGCCCTGGAATGAGGAAAGTCCCAAGATCCCGAAGGTGAATGGCTCCTGACACTCCACTGCTGCTGTTTATTTACTGTAACTTACAGTGTTTTCACTGTATAGTACTGCTCGCCTGCTCCCTGGATGCTGACATTGTATCAGTCTTCAGCCTTAAATACTCTATTCCTGCCTCCCATGAGGTATTGGAAGTGGACAATAGTAAGACGGACACTCATGTGCAGAAGAGGAGTTGTTTGCTCTTTATCACATTGAAATCCCCCCCATGTCAATCACTAATATTTGATTAAGAGGTGGGCCAGCTCAGCGTCTATTATTTGCTGAAACTGGTTGCACCCTGATTTTCTTTTTCTCTTGCAAGGAGCTCGGCACAGAATCGGATTGTTAATGATGATGCTATATAAAAGACTCATGGCCTCCATGCCTTCTGTACTTATGTTAACACACAGCTTCCCATTCCCTAGAAACCTGTATTCTGCACGCGAAACCCAATAAAAAAAAAAACAAGCTAGCAACCATTAAGGTTTGCATTAAAATTTTCTGGATGCACGTGGTTGAATTTCAAATGAGATTAAGATAGATCTGGATGACAGACATGTGAGGAAAATAGAGTATTAATATAACACCGTTTCAGACATCTGACAGCTTTCCAAGTGGAGATGAATGTGGGCTCCCCTCTGTTTGTCGTTTGCGTAATTACTGATAAATGACACCCAGCTGAACATAATCAAGACTGCAGAAGGACTCCCAGAGGTCACACAGACTGTGCCATGACCTTTAGTTGTGTGGCTGGTGCCTGTGCTGACACATCTATGGGTGATTTACAGAGGGAAAGGTGCTCCTAATTTGTCTATAAATAATTGGGGGGGGAAAACAATTGTGAAGGTGCAAGTCCTGAGGCCTAAAATAACAGATGAAATATAATAATGGAAAGTATGCACTGCACCGATTAGTCCTGGGGTGCTTCTGTGGATTTGGATCAGAAGCTCAAAAACCTGGAGCTGGTTTGTCCAGACCTTTAATTCTGGATGTTCGTAGGTGAGCAAATACTCAATCTGCTCAGGGTTAACTGGTTTGCATGTTAACATCCGGAGCTTCCAGTCTCGGGTGCTTTTCCCTTAGTTTTTAATGAACTATTTACTCTTGAATGTGTGCTCAAAAAGCATAAACTACATGGTTTAATAAATTAATTAATAAATTGGTGGATAACATTGTCCGTCGTTTCAGATACGAACTTTCTAAACCGTATTCCTGCAAGTCCACGTAATATAAGAACTAGACCCAGAGCGATTCTTTCTTGTGATAACGCACTGAAGTATAAAATGCTGTCGACGTAGGGGGTAAAAAAAGTGGTGGAACGTTGGCTTTAAAATAACAAGTGGAGGTTAATTCCACAATGAAAAGCAGGGGGAAAAAAAAGGAGGAAAGGCAAATCAAGGAGCTGAACCTTCTACAGGTGTGGGGTGGAATGAGGGAGAGAATAGAAGTCATATGCAGTCTCTCTGTTGGGTTACAGATTTAGCCCATTCACCCTTCCCCTGGAATTATCACCCAGGTTTCCCTTTCTTTGGAGGCACATCCTTGCCTCCTTGACCTATTCTCGTATGTGCTTTCTTTCGTCTTCATCAGCTGTCCCTTTGCCTCTCACTCCTCCCTCCCTCCCTCCTTCTTCTTCACACCAGAAACCGGGCTCCACAGCCAAAGTGTTGCTCTTTCCTTCTGCCGTTTTGCCCTTCTCCTCGGCGTGACCCCCTGCTTGCTCTTCTGTGGCTCGCGGGCTGGTGCAGCTCCCCACTGCGGCCTCCGCTCGCTGGAAGTCTTCTCGAGCGCTGCAGTGGCGGGGTGGGTGGCACTGATTGCTGCTCTGCTTCCCTTGGGTGCTGTCCGCCACCCACATCCTCGGCTACAGAACTGGAGACGGTGTGTGCCGAGAGGCTGCACCCGAGTCTTGCATACATACAGTATGGTTTGACAGTTGTTTCATTCACAAACGTATCTTAACTACCTCTAGCTTGGAGGGCATAAATGCTCAATGAACTTAGCATAGGCGTCATTGAGGAATCAGGACAGTTTAATAAACGGCACTTATTGCATCTTTATTACAGCTGCAGGGACCGGCGTACCTGAGGGTTGCTGGCGGCCACATCACTGCATCAGTTTTTGTGAATACAGGCCATGAAGTAGTTGTTTCTAGCATTTTTTTTGGCGTTAAGATCGCCAGGCTTCTTTTTGTTGATGTTTTCTGTCTCATGTGCCTGTGTGAACACAAGAGCTCTGTATGAAGCCTGCAGGGAATTTCTGGCCGAGGTGTTTTTGCAGAACTGAGTTTGAGAAACGCTGATTTAGAGCTTTCCCCCGGGGAGGCGTCAGGAATGTCTCGACACAGGCTGGTCTGCCTCCTTCATTATTTAACGAGCACTGCCCGGTAATGAGTCACGGCAGCCCCTCCCCTCACTGCCCATCCTCTCAAGTGGAGAAAGACAACGGTGTCATTGCAGCCTCTCCAGTCGCCTCTCGCGACAACGCTCTACAATGAACACAGTCTTGTTTTCTGGCTTTGTCCTTATCGATTTTGCTCATTGATCCTCTGATCACAGTGTGTTCCCCCTCCCCCCTCCCCCTGCCCCCTTTTCCTAACGTCTCATTTCAAAGCCCTGAAGCTGCTCATTAAGTGATTCTGATGTCCTTTGCGCTGCTCTTCTGAAACCAAAGGGACGGTCCTTTGTGTTTCTTCCTGCACGACAAGCACAGCCAGAGCTATTCTGGGGGGGAATCCAAAATCTAAAAAAGATTTTTTGGAAATACCTGAAATACCTAACCCACAAGAAATAAAGAATGAAATAAAAAAATGTGAGTTGGCATATCAGTGTTTCTGATAGTGTACTGTGAGATGTCGAAATGAACAGGATGCAGATGTTGTTTTTGAGGTATTTCTAGCTAGCTGCACAGCCCCAGTCTTGGAGTCTGCATAAACTCCAATGATTAATTTTCTATTTAGTTTTTTTTTTCCATGATGCTAACTAAGCAGTTTATGCAGAATTAAATACAATTTCTACATTTTACAATAGCATTTTCTCTGCTGTGCATTAGCTTATTCTTGGATGTACAGGAGCCCGTTTGCACATAAAGGGATGACATTGCCCCTTTGCCATTCAGTGGATCTGCTGTATATGCCACAGGTTTCAGACAAGCTGCACAAGCTGCAGTTCTCTGATATTTTAAAAAACCCTGTAAAACATATTCGAATCATGTAGCAATAGTTTGGTATTAAATTAGTAGGTTTAACCTTTTCTTTTTTCACATCAAGAAAAGATCTTAATTAACAGTGTGAGTGAGGTGCCCGCAAGTGGGGTGCTCTGGTTCGTCCTTCAGGGACCCCCCTTTTCGCTCCTGTGGCTTACCCACCCCCCTGTCCTGTACCCCCCAGGTGTGGCGGGGCACAGTGGCCAGGATGCGGTACCGCCGCATGCGGGCGGCCCTCACCATTATCCGCGCCTACCGCCGCTACAAGGTCAAGTCCTACATCCGCGAGGTCGCCCGCCGCTTCCAGAACGTCCGCCGCATGAAGGATCATGGGAAGCACGTCAAGTGGCCCGTACCGCCCAAGGTCTTGCGCAAGTTTGAGGAGGCACTGCAAAACATCCACAAGAGGTAAGAAACCTTGGGGTAGGGTGTGCAGATGCAGGGGTCCCTAGACCCTTGAATCAAGCTGACCTCTCTGTCGTAGCCCAGAGCGTGTCAGAGGTGACTTATGCTCGGCCATCTGGTATAATGTCTTTTAAAAGCAGCCTTGCACTGGAACATTTTCACAGCAGCTTCTGGTTGGAGACAAAAAGGTCCACAAAGATTTGAGTATTATTTACGTATGCAGGCAAGTGGGTTCTGATTGTTTCATCATGCCACAGACTGACACGGGCAGAATGCAACGAAAGCCGGCACCCTGTACAGAACAGGCAGCTCTTTTCCATGTAAACAGAGGCTGGAGAAAAGAGCACGTCTGATGAGGGTAAATCATTCCCACAGGCCCTCTCTCACTTCATCCTGTGTTTATTTTTTCTCTTGGTCAGATGGTGGGCGTGGACCCTGATCAAAACGATCCCACCTGAGGATCTCCCACAGGTGAGGGCCAAGGTTGCAGCCCTGGAGCTACTGAAGGGTCAGAGGGTAGACCTGGGCCTGCAGAGAGCCTGGGAGGGCAACTACCTGGTGAGTCTGGACTCCACTCAGCGCAGTCTATATTTCACAAGTCAGGTTCAAGTCAGGTACATTGTCAGTCTTAAGAAGTTTAATGCTGTACTCCAAATGTAGACATGTAGCTATAGTGTCCAACAAAACAGGTTTAGGTTGCACTGGCTTTTCTGTTCTGTTCCATTGCATTCCAGTTAGTCCTTTATTATTGAATCGATTTTCAACAATAGGTTCAATGTTCTGTTTGGGTCCAGGTCCTGAAATGGAGAGTGGAAACATCATGACTGCCTACCTCTTAATGCTAACCTGCAGGGCACTGCAGTTCAGTGGTTTGGTAAAAGGGTGTGGTGCTGACCTAATGGTTATCCATGGCTGCTAGCGAAATTAGCTTCAGGGCTCAATTCACTCAATGTGTAGAACACAGTCATTTCCAAAATCAGAACCCAGTAAGAGCGCACACTTTTTTTAACTGGGCCGGATCTTTTAGACACACCAGCTGGTGCTGTTAAAAGGCGTTTTAACACGGGTTTTAAGGTAGACGTGAACAAATGATGTTAAATAGCTTGGTTTGGACATGAGATCAGTGACTGTATATCTCATGGTCTTCTGAAGAGAGGGCCTCACTCTCGGATCTCATTACCTTTTCAACTTGCCGCTTACTCCTCGAACCTCAACCTCCCATCCACCTTCTCCAAGCAGAATTATTCCCCCATCTCTTCCCTTCTCTGCCTCGGGCTTCCTCCACCTTATCTCTGCTTTCATACCTCCCTGTTGCCCTTTCTCTTCTCTTCGGTCCCGCCTCCAGTCCTGCCTCCTCCTGATCCCTGTGTGTTTGGTGTTTGTGTCCGCAGAGGCGGGACAGCCCAGAGACGGTGTCCTCCTTCACCCTTGTGTCCAGTGAGCTGCAGCGCAAGGACAAGTTCATGCAGGTCCTCTTCTCCTGCCATGTGCGCAAGGTACTCTTCACAACACAACAACATCTGTTGGGATATCACTTTGGTGAAATAGGTGGTGATGTCATTTTACAGGCTAGGATGTCACAGCAGCAACAACATGTTGGCACCCTGGTGAAGCCGTGCTGTGTACTTTTTCTTTTTCCTTGTTATCCTCTGCTGACCTTCCACCAAGACAGAGGCCCCTGAAAGCCCCTGAAGGTGTGGTGTTGGCACCATAGTTTACAATCTTCCCTCCTGTTTCCCAGATCAACCGTTTCCACAAGGCAGAGGACCGGGCAGTGATGATCACCGACCGACACCTTTACAAGATGGACCCTGTGAAACAGTACAAGCCCATGAAGAGCATCCCACTGTATAACGTGCGTAGACCCTTTTCCTCAAGCCACCCCGTACTGGCCTCTCAGTCCTTGTGTCAGCTGTGTGAGAGCCTTAGGGTGTCTCTAGGCTTTCAGTTAACACCCATACACCTTTAGTACAAACGGGCTTGTAGATCCCATGGGGATGGGTTCTTTCATCATTCTCTCCTGTTATTTTAATCTGATATTTTCAAAAGTCCACATCCTGTCAGGTCCTGTCAGCTCCTAGGTAGACTAGACTAAAGCTAATTATATTATATAAATAATCTAAGTAACTTGATTGTTGTTGTCTGAGAGCTCCTCACCGATTCCTCATCAGCCGCTTCTGTTGAAACCTAAAGACTAAGGGAAACCTCACCTGGTTTGACACCTATTTTCCTTTCTGATGTCATCAATGCCACCAAGTCCAAGACTAAATCTAGTGATCTCTCAAGTCTCTTTAAAAGGAGTGTGGGTTTCTTAATGTTCAGATTGGACCTTTTTTTGTCCGTCTGTGATTGCAGAATTCAGTATCAAGGATATGTCTTCAGAGGCTTGTGGTATTAAAGTAACAGAAGTTCAGGCTTGGATTAAGTTCGACACTCTGCCTCACCCCACCAAGCCCAAATTCCACCCTGACCTGATGGAGGATTTGCACTTCCTATACATAAGGAGCCTCTGCCAAGTGCTTTTCAACTTACAGTTATTGAGCTGGAGGTGGTTTTTATTTCATCTGGCATTTCATTGGCAACAGCAGAGAGCACATTTTTTTTTAGCACTTGCTTGGATTTCGCACTGTTAAAGGCAGCTGTTAACAGCTATGCAACAGTGCAGAAGGTGGGTTTACATCAATTAGCAGACAATATGTGTTCAAAATATCCAAATGAACAGAGGCAGTTCCCTGAATGTGTACCAACCAGAAACGGATTTTGGAGTAGCCATCATAGACAGCATTTTCTTGCTTGACAGCTTCATCACGGGGTGCATAGTTAATTGAAAACAAATCAAAAACTGGACTTTACCTGTCCGAAACGCTGCAGCTCACATAATGAGACAAAGGGTAGTAGCTGAGATGATTAGCCCCTGATCCAGCTGAGCAACAGGGCTGGCCGCCATTTCAAGCAACGCCTGCTTGCTAACCTCCCAGGCAGGAGGGGTTCAAGCCTGATTCTTGAAAAAAGAAGCAGCACATCGACAGCCAGGAGATCAAGCTCTTGTTCCTCTGCCTCTGTCATGAGCGTTAAATATAGACTTGTCGAAACAGCAGAGGAAAAAAAACCAGAGATCAACACCAAGGACACTGGCTGGCCTTCCCTCGGATGACTAAGTCTTCCCCATTGTTCCTCTCAATGGTCCATAATGCAGTGTATTTATAGGCTGAGATAATGCACAGCGAGGACAGCAGCTTCCTGGGCATGAAACAGCAAGTGGGTATTCTCAGTGTCAACAGCAGAGAATGGTGTTGTGTGAGAAAGATGAAGGCTGGCAGAGCTGCAATCATAAAGCATGGAGGATATAAGAACTGCGCACAACCTAATTTTAAGTAGTAAGTGGTTTTTAAAGCTTCAGGCAACTAAGTTTACAGGCCTGAAAGATAGTGAAGGCACTGTTGTTCTGGATTTACAGACTGCTAAAGTGTGTCTGGCCGTGAAATTGCCACAAACTAGAATTGTTTGTTTTGGAGACTCCTTTGATTCATATGAGTTAAGGCAGGAGGGCAGCCCTCCTTCTGTCGGACGTCTTGGATTGGAGCCAGAGGAGAATGAGGGTTGAGGCAGTGAGGGAGGAATAACACTCAAGGTGAGACACAAATGGAGTGACAGAGGGACTGATAGAGGAAAACAAATGGAGGGAGGCATTAGATGGGAAGATGGGGAATGTGGTTTTGGGAGGGGGAGAGTTGATTAGTATAGGAAATGCCAGCCCAAAATCCTGATTGTGACTCGTTTATCATGCTGATATTCAGGACCAGGCTCCCAAGATAGATTGCCTTGCTAATCTTTGCCATGATAGAGCCTTGCTAGATTCATGCAGCTGTCAGGGGCGCTCAATATCAGCATCCCTGATCCCACCCCCCACCTTCCCATCCATCCCTCTTTCCAGCGTTGTCATGCCAACCTCCCTGGAGACAGGGTTGCTATGGAGACGGAGCTGGAGGAAGGATCAGCTGATGTCTGGTACCGTTCAGGCATGTGCTCACAAATCGGCTTCCTCCATTTGCTCTTTCCTCTCCACAGGAGTGTTGACTCTCCTGTCCTTTGTCCACTTTCCCCTTTCCATTTTGGGAATGGCTTACAAACCACACAATTCCCACTTCTTTCCGATTTTAGTAAAACACTAAACCTTTTAGGGCTTTCAGCTTTCAGGAGTTGGATTCACTGTGTGCTTTTCTGTAAAAACCCAGCTGAACCTGGACTCAGTACATCAAGTTATTTTATATACCTAACTGCCAAAAGATTTTATACAGGGAAATGCAGAGCTATGTATAGGTGAAGACAGCATATATGAGTTGGAATGAGAGGCATAAGCTAAGGATATCTGTTAGAAATGATGGGGCTGTCTAGTATATCCTCCAGTGCTAATATTTTTGCATATTTACGTATTTATGCCTCAAATGGTTTTGTACATTTACTCATTTGTTGTTTTAAAACCTGATGTTAGTATTTAAAATATTTTTATTATTATTTGTCTAGGGCAATCAAAAAGTTTAACTTTCCTTTGAATAATTTAATTACCCTACTTTCCTTTAATTTTGTTCTTTTAAGTCAGGTCAATTAACTCCTTTAATTCAGTGTTTCAACATCCCCATCCAAATCTGGAGAGGCAGGGATTGCACAGCATTGTGAGAACTAGCCCAAAGGAAGAGAGTGGATTGATTTTGAGCTGTTGCCATCTCCGTGCTTTGTAGCATATCCGAAATCTGAGATCAAGAACTACCGAGGAGGCTGAAGGGGGTCTTGTGTCAAGAGCAGCCAGATACTGATTTCACGGTTTTTAGCTTCCTCCTGTTTTCTGCTGCTAAGAGCTGCATATCCAGCTCTTTCCTTAGGAAGACATCTGAGAACATATCAAACTGACATTGGTGAATGCCCTTTAAATAAAGTGTAGTACTCCCCCTGCTTTTCTTGATTTCAGATGTGGATAGAGATACATTTGCAAAAACTGTTTGAGCAGTTTTAAAGATTTTACTCATCCGAGGTCTGTTGAGGCAAGACCTGCTTATCGTATTGTCCCCACTTTACAGCCATTCGGCTTGGTCTTGCCTGTGTGTCCCCTCAGACACTTCAACACAGTCACCCACAGTGCCTCTTTCAGCGGGTGAGTTTGGTTGAGGCGAATGGTGATGGGGGAGAAAGGGGGTGATTATCGGGCATCACCCTGATGGAAAGGGGTCAGTCCAAACCCAAAGGTATTTAGCCATCTTTCGCAAACATGACTGAACCTATGTCTGGGGTCAAGATACAGGCTTTTGGTATAACTTAAATGTCAACTTCTGCATAATAACACTGCATAGAATGTGTTTCTGGTGTGGGTGTACAGAATGAATCAGCTGATTATATAATTGCAGATACTTTTAGACCAGAATGTATGTTCAGAGATCTGAGAACAGGTTCTAAGATCAATAAACCCCTTACAGCTGTCTGTGCATGGTAAGCTAAATGGCGTCCTTAGCAGTGACATTTTAAGCATGTAATGAGTTCTGCACCAGCTTTCAAACCAGTGCAGACTGAACACTGACAAAACTGGATCTGAGCAAATGGCATTGCGTTAATAAATTACAATGGAATATACATTGGATAGTTTTGCATAGGAAAGAAGGATTTTAAAGGGAAAGGAATATAGAGGTTCAAAGGCAAAGAACCTTTTGCTCACTTACTATGTGTCCACTTACTGAATCCCCATGTGCTCTGTCTTTAGGGTGTGATGTCAGATGTCAGAGTAAGAACATAAGGCTGTTCAGCCCAACTCTTCCATTTTGGTTTTAAATGATCCAAAATCTCATCCAGTCGTTTCTTGAAAGATGCTACAACATGGCTGGGTAGCTTGATCCATTGTCCCACAACCCTTTGCACTAAGAGGTTCCACTTCTTAAGAGGTGACTCTGCAGCTAGTGGTGTTACATATTGTAGTTTCCTATAATTTGATACAACCAGATGCATCATTGTTCTCTTGATCTTGTTAAGTAATCAGTTAATTAAGGAGCTGATTGTAGATTTGTTACTGGTTTATTTGGTTGATGCTTTTATCCAAATTGACTTATATTCGCAACGATTTATTAAGCTGTTTTTTTTACTGGGTCAAATCGGGTGAAGTACCTTGCTCAGGGGTACAACAGCAGTGTCTCACCTGGAATTTGACCCCACATACTTTCAGTTAGTTTCAGTTTCAGAGTCCCGAACCCTGACCTCTGCTCCCCCCCACTTCCTAAAGAAAGAGACGAAGCAGGGGGCACCTGCACTTGAAGAGGGACCTCTTGAGCTGCAGTCAGATCATACCTCAATGAAATATTTTGGGCTTGTCCTGAACTGTCCTGCTACACAGCAGGCTAGAACGCTAAAAGATTTGATCCAGTTTTTCTTAATGGTTTAGTTCCAGCAGACTCACTGCAGCATTGACTGGCCTTGGGCAGATTTCCATTCTCTTAGTGGTGTCAAGCCTGCCAGTTGTTGCGCCTCGTGTCATAGAAGGGCACACGCATTAAAAGGCACCGGGCCGTCTATCTGTCAAGCTGTGGTTCGTTCAGGGTTTTACGGGTTATATTTCCTGGGGCCTCCATCATTGTTTTAGTTAAGCGAGCGGATAGGTGCTTTTAGTGTATCACAGAGGACGGTTGTAAAATATGCAGAACCACAAATTGAAGTACATTTGTATGAAATAAAACCTACTCAGAAGATTCGTGTAGGAAATGTTATATACTAATAGAAGCACTTTATTTGAATACAAATGGAGGACGTTTGAGGCGGCGGGGCAGGGGGAAGAATTGCTGCCTCGCAGTGTTGGGTTCAGTGCCGATCCTGGGGCGCTAATTGTTTGTGGAGTTTGTATATTCTCCTCATGTTTGTACAGGTTCCAATCCAAGAGCTCCAGTTTCCTCCCATAGTCCCAAGACATATGTGTTGGTTAATCGGCTTCTGGGAAATTTGCCCCAGGTGTGAGTGTGTGTGTGTGTCTGTGTTTGTGCCCTGTGATGGACTGGTGTCCGGTCCAGGGTGTGTTTGTGCCTGTGTGTGCCCTGTGATGGACTGGTTTGTGTGTGTGTGCCCTGTGATTGACTGGTGTCCGGTCCAGGGTGTGTGTGTGTGTGTCCTGCAATGGACTGGTGTCCGGTCCAGGGTGTACCCTGCTTTAAACCTGTTTCTTTTCGGGATAGGATCTGGCTTCCCCCACAACCCTGGAGTGGAAAAAGCAGTTAAAAAATGGGATGAAAGAATCGATGATCCATCTGTAGGTTTCTAGCCAACTGTACTAGACGTGCCTAAGTTGAAGATATGACCAGAACAAGCAGGTTGTCACAGGATGGAATTAAATCCATGTAGATCCTGTGGCTGCGGAGTGACTTTACCAGGAAATGCCCTTTTTTGAAGTGCAGCTTGATCTGTGTTGTCTCGACATCTGTTTAAGGCCTGAGTTGTGTCATCCATTATCTTAGTCATTCATTAGCCATGAGTCCTGACGTGCTGGGGCACAGCTGACAGGATGAAAAGATGGTTGCTTTTACTGTGCTTTGTTGGAGCATGTATATACAGTATGATTTATATCTCGGATCGTGTGAAGAGTTGATTTTGGATCTCTGGCCTCTGCACATGGTTTTTTTTTCCCCATGTTGGTTCACCAGTTTGAATTGGAGTCCCGGGGGAGAGGAGGGAAGGTGTCAGTGGATGGAACGATCCCACTGATAGCAGAAAATCAATGGGATGATTACAGTGCAGCAGCCTGTGCACAGCATGTTTCCATCAAGCACCCAAGGGCAGCAGAGCACCCTCACACAGCCTACCTGCCTTGTCTGCTCAGACATAGGCCACTGGGGTCAGTGTTCTGGGGACCCCCTGAAACACCCCAGCTGACAGAAAACCACACAAGCTCAGTGGTGTTCAACCTACCGTGCGTTATCATATGAGGGTTCCTGGTCTGTAACCGCAAAGAGACATGAACCAGTCATGAGCCATTCACTCTGCATTGTGCACTCAGCCTCTCCAGAGCCCTGCAGATCACAAACTTTTAAAGCTATTCTCTGAGATTTTAGCATGTTGCAGCATTTTTGAAGTGTAAAAGTTTTACACCTTAATCTGTACTTATTATTTTAATGGGTAAACTGCGGAGGAGAAGAAAAGGCTGGTGATTTTGCACCATCACCATCCATAATGCACGTCTTCCCTCTGACCTGTGGCCGGCTGTGTGTAACCTGCCTGCGCCCTCCTGCTTCAGGTGACGGGCGTCAGCGTGTCTCCGGGGAAGGACCAGCTGGTGGTGTTCCACACCAAGGACAGCCGAGACCTCATTGTGTGCCTGCAGGGCATGGTGCCCGCGGGGGAGAGCCGCATCGCAGAGCTGGTGGGCACCTTGGTCAGCCACTTCAAAAGGTACTGTGTCAGCCGCCATAACGCGTGGAAACACTGTCCTGTATCGTGCCGTGGTAGTATGGGGACTGGGGGACACTGAAGGGTAGCAGGCATCCTTTCTGACGAGACTTCAGTCAGTTTCGGTTTGGTATCAGATTTGCCAGACTGGTGGGGGGGCAAGGGTGGGCTGAGTTCCTGACTGCGCTGGGAGCTTTGCAGTGCCGGCTTTATTTATGTTCAATTTGTTTATTGGTTTTTCAGGGAAAAGAAAGAGCATTACAAGGTACCATATAAAATAATGGATAAATGTGAACAATCATCATGGCATGAAAGATGAAGTCCTGGTTTTATTTAGAGTGGGAGGTGCCTTGTTTCCTTCGCCTAGAGAAGCCAGACTGGCATGTTTATGCAAAGACGAATTTTCGCCGGACCTGTTGGAGAAGAGAGACCGAGTGATGCCGTGCTCCTGTGTTCTGTTTGCACTAAGCTCCCCCAGAGGCATCTTGGTGACAGAGAGCAGCCAGGCCAGGCAGTCCTGAGTGCAGTGAGAAACACAATTTCCTCTTCCTCCTCACTCTGGGGTTTTTCAGATTTCACACAGGGGTGTCTCTAATGTATACAGTTAACCTTCATGTAGTGATGCTATTCTTTATAAAGTCGGCACATTCTTTTGTAGATCACGACTTAGAACCCCGTTCCTTTTGGGGTAAAAGAAAGAGGTTGTTTAGGGGCAGCCATAATAGTTGAACGCTATATTGTTGTGCATTTGATAAATAAACTTTGATTTGATATTGTCCATTGTCAGGCTGTCTGAGATTGAGACACGGCTGACATGAACATGAAACACGCAGGTCTCTTCCTCTCTCAAATGGAAAACAGTGTGTTTTTTTTCTTGGAGGACTGCATGAAGGAAAGGGTTATTACTGCATGGGTGTACTGTAGGTTTGGTTTTTCAGCACTGCAGCATAACAAATGCACTGCCCCTCCCTCTCTGCTGGGGAAGCTGGGGTGCTATGAAATATTTAAGGAACACTGCCTGCTGTGTTTGCCTGCACTTTTAACTGGAAGATAGAGAATGAACATGCGCAGCTGCTGAGCTGAGAAGATGCTGTGCTGATTCTGTGCTCTGTCTCTAGGGAGAGACAGGCCAGGGCCACTGTGAGTCTGAGCATCGTACCTGTTGAGCTCCCTATCCCTGGCCTGTGCCAGGCCGTTCCCTGGAGTAACCACTGGATTGCTCAGTCCACTCCATAAAGGTCCTCACAACTGCATCTTTCCCAGCGCAAAAGCTGCTGATCACAAGTTGATCCACTGCGCAGGTCCACAAGTACGTTTTGCATTTGCAAAATGATTTTTGGGTTCTTGTCACCGAGTGAAATGCAGCAAAGAGAAATAAAACGTTCTGTTTTGGATGGAATTGTATCAAATCAAAATGATGGGTGTCATTGCAGGCTTTTGGTTTTCCTTTTACAAAAAGGAACAAACTGTGTATCCCAGATGTTAAACAGAAGTGGTCGAATGGGCCTGAGGACCGAGCCCCTTATGTAGCAAACGCAGCTCTGTCAGCTATGTGCAGTAGACAGTGCAGTGGATTGTGTGCACCAGACTATGGGGTCGGTTCCTTGTAGTTTTATGTGCTGTCCTCAGAACTGGTATTCAGTATTCCTTGTTTTTCTCAGTTGATCTCTGTCAAGGCTGAACCCAGGTTTCATCATGCTACAGCAAGAGCCTTTACAAGCTGAGTTGTTGTGGAGCCACAATTTTAATTTTTTATCGGGGACAATTGTCTAAACAGGGTTAATATCCAGTAATCCAGTACAGTGTGCCCCTATACAGATATTCTGTAAACAAGTACTCTCCATCCCTTGTCGTGTAGATCCCCAATCTATTGCATTGCGTTTTTTCTCTTTTCCTTCGAGGAGGAGTATAACCCATTTAGTTCTCAAGACCTGTATAATGAGAATGAATTTTAATTCAGAAAGCTCCAGGGCATTGTTAAAGACAAACACTTTTTAAGACTGCGTTTTTGCCAAAGCACAGTGGGAGAGAGGGTGTCCTTATATTGCAGTAGCTGGAGATGGTCTCTTTGCGTCCTCCCGTCTCTGGGTCATGACTCAGCTGAGCCGTGCTAAATTGCATCGATCCCATCTGTCTGGACGTGATTGCACACTGCCCGGTGCTTGTTGTCTGCTTGTTGTCTCTGTCTACCCTTTAAACCGAGGCGGGACAGCCTCGCCAGACTGGGAGCGCTTTCTCTCTCTGTATCTGCGGGCGTTTGAAACGCCACGAGGAACACATCGGCTGTGCACTGGAATGCTAGCGATGCCCCCCCCCCGGCCTCCATCTTCCCGAACGCACAGACCATTGCCTGCCTTTATTTTCCATAATGATTTGCTGCCAGTCAGCTTCATTGATATGAATCACCTAGTTTGCCGGGCCTTGTGGGCAGCAGGCAGAGGGGATAGCAAGAGATTGCATTTATACTGCTGCAATCAGGACTGTCCGTCTGGGTAATTAGACTTTTTGTTGGAGCATGCTTTACCTTGGCGCCTTGTGTCTCCCAAAAACTGTTATCTTCCCTCAAACGCAATTTGAACAAATTCAGTATGTCAGTGTGGTCGCATCAGCATATTTATAGGGCTCCGTGTCAAGGAGAGTTTGCCAGCTCAGTCAACCCATGTTGCACTCCTTCCCAGGCTTGGAGTGGCAACACAGATTTCACAGCTCCTGGTCTCTGTGCGTGTAATTTAGACACCAGACAATCTCCCTTTGTCCCTTTACCACACTCAGCTGTTGGGGTGTTCTTGTTCTTGTTTAAGTTTGGTGCATTCGATTATATAATTTGGAGATTTTTCCTGCACTCGAACAGACCAGGGTGCCCTCATGGTCCGGAGGCTTCGCCCTCATTGTACAGGTCACAGAAAGCAGAATCCCAGCGTGTTTATTCCGGCCAGTGGACCTGAATTCAATACACACTAACACCTATGGTCAATTCATCCATTTAACGAAGGTCGCCTCGAAAATATAAGCATCAATACGTGGACAGTAGTATTATTAATGATTGTTATGATTATTTTAGTTGTTCTTTTTCAGGGCGACACTGGGCTGCAGCAGCAGGGTTTCTTCAGGCAGTGTGTTTGTCAAGGTCACCTCTCCTCCCGATTTGGAATTTCAGACAAGCTGAGTCTATTTTGACCCTCCCCTTCCTCATCACCACCCCCCCCCCCAACACACACACTTTTCTCTCCCAGTTTTTCCATCTCTCACTCCCACTCTCTCCACTCGTCCCTCCCTCCCTCTCTCACTCTAGCTACAGATGCGGTTTCCCCTAGCAACCAGTCGGTACAAGTTTTTTTTTGTCTCATATTTACCCCATTAATAACACTCCTGCCTGAGAATACTAATGAAGTGCTCTCTTGTCACAGCGAAAGGGGGACAGTGAGGGTGAGCGCGAGAGGGGAAGAAACTGTTTACCTTCCTCAAGAGGGGCTTGCATCAGATATTCAGTCCAGTGCACTTCCCCTCCCCTTTCTTAAACAAAAGCCATTATTATAATAATGGTTATGATGATGAGAACTGTGCACTTTTAATGGGAGAAGTTACTAGACACACATGTAGCCATTAGGCATCCATGAGTCTAGCTTCCTTATCTCTAACCAGTTAGCTGCATGTGCTGATCACCTGTCATCCCCTCGGAGCGCAGGGCCTGTGAGCTCCTCGGTATTAAACATCCAGACTAAAGACCTCCTGCCCCCCCGTCTCTCAGCTCTGACGCTGCAGCCCTGTCCTCTGTCCTTCTTGCACCTCCAGCACCCAGGTCCCAGCAGGCTCCTGCCCCTCTGCTCCCTCTTGGCTCTCTCCCAGCTGCTTCGTTGCCATTCTGTTCAGAAGCTCTCTGCTGCTCAGTGGCCGACTCGGCAGCACACAGCGCTCGGGGAAGTGTCGCTGTTGCAGAGCTGGATCTATAGAGTATCTGCTTTTCTCCATGACCTACTTTTTCCCCACCGCCGCCTCCGCGAGTTTCTCAGCCTCCTCGTCTGGCCTTAGCCAACCCGCCTGCCCCCCCCCCCCAAGAGCCTAGCACTCTCACCTGGGGGCCCCTGCTGCACAGCCCCACCTGCACCCCATCAAGTCCCCGCCCCACCTGGGCAGGTAGAGGATGTCGTGTTGAGACAGATCGTCCCTGCGTTTGTATTTCTCCCTTGCCTCAGTTTCTCAGTTGCTTGGAGATAGATCAGCGCTTTGTGAACAGAGGGGGGTTATTTGCGAGGACTGCCTTTATCAATCAGATCAACACGTAAAGAAAATAAGATTTCTGAATTTCGGAGGGGACGTCCTTGACCTCGGGATTGCAGATCTTCAGAACGTTTTTGCGTTTTCCCAACTCTCTTCTTCCTCGAGTACCAGAATGGTGCTCAGTCTAAGAGACAAAAATTACCCGTCTTTCAAACGTTGCAACAAAAGCTCCCAAAGCTCATCTCTGTGAAGCTAAACAAGTGCAAATGTAGTGCAGCTGGACCCATGTGATCCCCAGAAATAGGAAAAGTCTGAAAAAGAAAGTTTTACTAACCTGAGGCTCTTCTGTGAGAGAAAAGCTATAACCGAATTTTTGATTCTTCAGGTTTAGGCTCTGTATCCTCCAGGGGTCCAAGCTGCTTAACAGACAGTACAGCTTGAGTTCCATCTGTTGTCCCTCTCCCAGTTCTTTGGACTGAGTACTGCACTATGTCCAACACTGCTGCTTTATGCCGTACGGTATTGCTGCTCGTCTGATGCTTCCTTGGCCCCAGATTCATTCCCCTTAATTGAAAGCATGGCAGCTTTTTATTTTGTCTTTAAAAAAAAATTAAATGCTAAATTAATGAACAACTTGTTCTTTACATGTTGTATACATGTTCTTTTGCCATTACATAGGAAGACATGAGAATAACGCCTTCGAATGTGGTGGCAGCCATGTGTCTTCCTTAAGACATCTGTCGGGACACCTGCTGAAGCCTTAAAGAACAGACTGAGCTCTGGGC